GGCGTTCCGGGTCTGGGGATCTCGGGCGTTTGTTCGCGACCTGTCTGCGGACAAGCTGTCCCCTCGTGCTTCTCCCTGCGTCTTCCTGGGGTTCCCCCCCGACGCCCCTGGGTGGCAGTTTTACCACCCCACCTCTCGACGTGTTCTGTCCTCCCAGGACGTCACGTTCGACGAGTCGGTACCCTACTACCGCCTCTTCCCCTACCGCACTCCGTCCCTCCCCCCGCCCCCGCTCTTCTTGGTACCAGGTCCCCCCCCGGTAGTCCCCCTCCCCCCTCAGGGTCCTGCCCCTTCAGATGTGTCCCACGTAGACGCGGTCGAGCCTGTCGAGGTCACTGGTGACTCTGGTGCTGCTGCGGGAGCTGAGCCTGAGGGTGCGGAGTCTGGGGGTGCTGAGCCTGGGGGTACTGTGCCTGGGGGTGCTGAGCCTGGAGGTGTCGGGCCTGGGGGTGCTCTGCCTGGGGGTGCTGAGCCTGGGGGTGCTGAGCCTGGGGGTGCTGAGCCTGGGGGTGCTGAGCCTGGGGGTGCTGAGCCTGGGGGTGCTGTGCCTGGGGGTGCTGAGCCTGGGGGTACTGAGCCTGGGGGTGCTGTGCCTGGGGGTGCTTCGTCTCGCCGAGAGCCACTCCCCCCACAGGAGCTGCGTGAGTGGTTTGCCAGGCGCTGGAGGCGTGCTGCTGGTGCTGGTGGTTCTTCGGCTGCAGAGGGTACTGCTGTCACGCGTCCTGGCGGTGCTTGTACTGTGGGTGCTGGAGCTGCTCAGTCTGAGAGTTCTCCTGGAGCTGGTCCTGCTGAGGGTGTTGGCGCTGGAGGTTCTGGAGCTTCTGGTGGTTCTGCTGGAGGTGCTGCTGGAGTGGGTGCTCCGGACGGGGCTGCTGCTGCTGTTCCTGCTGTTTCTGGTGTCGCCACTCGGCCCCGACCGTACTTCGTTCCGCTCCTGCAGCAGGTTCTTGGTCTTGCACCTCCTCCTGCTCCCTTAGAGGGTCCGCAGCCTGTTCGGTCACAGCCACAGCTACAGCCTGCCTCCCCTTTGCCTGCTCCTTCTCCCTACGCTGGTCCGACTGGAGGTCTTACTGAGCGTCGTGAGCCTGCGTCTCGTCCTGCGTCGCCTGTTCGTACTGAGCGCGCTAGTGGTCGTGGTTCGCGTCAGCGTCCTCCTCCTGTCCCTGGCACGCACTGGATGTCACTGCGTCCGTCCACTGCTCCCCTGCGTGCCCCTTTGCCTTCTCCTCCTACTTCCTCTCTTCGTGCTCTTGCTGACCCTGAGTCGGACTCTCTTCGCGCTGCCAGTCCTACTGTCACGCGTCTCCTTGCTACTGCTGTCACTGACCCTTCCTTCGAGTCGTCTGCTGCGACTGCCCTTGTCACTGAGCTTGTCGACTTTGCTGCGCGCTGTCGTCTAGACTACGCTGCTCGTCTTGTCACTGAGTCTGAGTCCGCCTGTCCTCCGTCCGTCGGGGGTGAGTATGCCCTTGGCACGGACGTCCTTGAGGACAGGCAGGAGGAGTTCCAGTGTCTAGCCGCTGCTTCACCTCGTCTTGCGTCTGTACTGCTAGCCCCTGAGGGAGACCCGGATGCACCAGACATCCCGACTACGCGCTCTTACGCGGAGGCGATAGAGGGTCTCTACTCCTCTCAGTGGCAGGCAGCTATGGATGCAGAGATGGCTTCCTGGAAGTCCACAGGCACCTACGTTGACGCTGTTCCCCCTCCTGGGGCGAACATCGTCAGTGGCATGTGGATTTTCAGGGTGAAGCGGCCGCCGGGTTCTCCGCCTGCCTTCAAGGCGCGTTACGTGGCTCGTGGCTTCAGTCAGCGGCAGGGGGTTGACTACTTTCAGACCTTCTCCCCCACCCCGAAGATGACCACTCTTCGGGTTCTGCTGCACGTTGCTGCTCACCGTGACTACGAGCTGCACTCTCTTGACTTCAGCACTGCTTTCTTGCAGGGCAGCCTGCACGAGGAGATCTGGCTGCGTCGCCCACCTGGCTTCACTGGGTCTTTCCCTCCTGGTACCCAGTGGAGTCTCCGGCGTCCAGTCTACGGTCTCCGCCAGGCGCCACGTGAGTGGCACGACACACTGAGGACTACGCTCGCGGCACTTGGGTTTGCTCCTTCTACTGCCGACCCGTCGCTGTTTCTTCGCACCGACACCTCTCTGCCGCCGTTCTACATCCTCGTGTACGTCGACGACTTGGTCTTTGCCACAGCTGACACTGCTGGACTCGCCTACGTGAAGTCCGAGCTGCAGAAGAGACACACGTGCACTGACTTGGGTGAACTGCGCAGCTACCTTGGCTTGCAGATCACCCGGGACAGAGCACGCCGCACCATTACCCTGACTCAGTCACACATGGTGCAGCAGGTCCTTCAGCGCTTCGGCTTCACGTACTCCTCGCCTCAGGCCACTCCTCTGCCTACTCGCCACTCGCTCTCAGCTCTGCCTTCGGATGAGTCCGTAGAGTCGAGTGGCCCGTTTGCAGAGCTTGTTGGCTGCCTCATGTACCTGATGACCTGCACACGACCTGACCTCGCATACCCTCTTAGCATTCTCGCACGCTTTGTTGCTCCTGGGAGACACCGACCAGAGCACATGGCTGCAGCGAAGAGGGTGTTGCGCTACTTGTGCAGTACGTCGGGCATGGGGCTAGTGCTTGGAGGGCGCAGTCCAGTGGTCCTCACTGGGCACGCAGACGCTTCTTGGGCTGACGACCAGGCTACGCAGCGGTCGTCACAGGGTTACACCTTCAGCCTAGGTTCCGGCTCTGTCTCGTGGCGGGCTACCCGCTCGTCTTCTGTTCTCGGCTCCAGTTGTGAGGCTGAGATCTACGCTGGGGCTATGGCTGCACAGGAGTTACGCTGGCTCACCTACCTGCTGACCGACCTTGGAGAGCAGCCTCGTTCTCCTCCAGTCCTGTACGTAGACAACAAGGCCATGCTGGCCTTGTGTCGAGAGCAGCGACTGGAGCACAGAACGAAGCACATTGCTCTCCGCTACTTTCTTGCTCGTGAGCTACAGCAGCGTGGACAGCTACGACTTGCGTACGTGGCCTCTGAGGCCAACACTGCTGATGTGTTCACCAAGGCACTTGCGCCTTGTGATCATCAGCGTTGTTGCACGCAGTTGGGTCTTGTGGCTGTCTTGCCTCACTTGCTCTCCTCTTGACCTTGCTTGTACCTTCGCCTATATATACTCTTGCTCTTGCTTGCTTGATTCTTGTATATCTCTATATATGATCTTGCATGTAAACTGGCCTTCTGGCCTTTGAACTTGTGCTCGGAATGCGTGGTGACTTTGTGATCCACCCTGAGCTTTGCTTTGCTTTGCTTGACTGGTCTTGTGACCCCTTGTTCTCCCCCATTTTGCCTATGGGGGTGTGTCAGAACATATAGCTTACTTGTTTCTGTAGGCTATAGTGGGGTATCCCATAGGGGGTACAACCCAATTAGGGTTTCCTATTTGTACCCACTTCATTTCATAGTCATTCACTCCCGTTCATTCAGTTTCTCACTTTGTAATTGGGTGTAGGCTGTAGTGGGGTAGCCAATGTGGTGTACAACCCCTTTAGGTCTATACTTGTACCAAACTTTCTGAATAGTCAATCATTCCTGCTCGTTGATTCTGGCATTCTCCAGCAATTGACGTCGGAGCACCAACATTCGGCGCAGACGTTGAAGCCGGCGGAGCCTCTGTAGCAACCACGACATGAGCGCTAGCTGTTCCGTCGGCGACCACCTCACGCTCTTGCACAGGCACTTGCGGGTCTTCCTGAACCGTCATGGTAGCAACATACTTAGTAGTCCTTCCCTTGGAAGGCATGCTTGGATGGAGAGGTGAGAATAGCTTGGATGAAGTGATGAAGCATATGTTGATTCCCTTTGTTAAGTAGTCTTCTCGCTTCTTGCGAGACTTCCACTCCCAAGGCTGGGGTTGGTGGAGCCATAGCCTTGCTGATGAAAGCCCTTGGTTTATCCTGATGAGCCATGAACAACTGGCAAGCTCCAGCTTTGGCTGCCTAGATCACGCGATCAACGAACCAACAAACTGCGAACACCGGGCTCCTAGAACTCTACGTGACAGAAACTCTAACCTAGGGGTATACTCGATGCATGGCCTACGTGGAACACCAGTTATCAACGAGCTGACGCGACCTTGGGATGACAATGACCCGATGCCTGGAACTCAATAAGCGTGAAAGATACCCGCCTGATGGGTACAGTCTTTATGTCCGCTTATTGAGGGAGCCAAGCTGCATCTAACGGTATAGTCAATGTCAAGAACTGAGCTAGGTAGGTGGGGCATTGTCCTGCTAGAAGCGCAGTCCATGGCGGCCTTCTCATGTCGTGTTTACAAGTTGGATGAAAGGGGTTGAACCTCGGACCTCTCGCTTAGGAAGCGAACACTCTATCCACTGAGTTACAGGCGCACCTGACCGAAGCTATGACGTTTGACAGTGACAAGGACAAACCTGCCAAATCAGCAAGGCAAACAGAAGTGCGATCCACTTCGTGTTCTCCAATTGGATGCGTCGTGCACATAGTGGCAGCGCAGGGGAAAGATTCCCCCACCACGTCATCAGCGAATCGAGACTGCCTTCGCTAGTGGTCCCCACTCCAGCTCAGATGGCATGGCGTGTGAGGCAGCAAATGGATCAAGGTCGGGTAATTCACGAGTCACGGGTTTCCAACCACGGCCTGGCATTGGTTTGGGTGGTGCATCTAGAATCCAGATTCCTCTCGTGAGACCATCGCAATTCTGTTTCTCCTTTTTGCCTGCTGCGGCTTCCGCTTGCTCAACACCTTGCTGCCAGTTGATTCAGTGAGCCGCCTCGCTACACATTCTAGTTTGTGCTATTCTGCTTCTTGAAATGAACGCGTGCTCTCGCTCCCTAGCATCGAATTGCCTCTCAGCGTCGCCATTTCATCGCACATTACCTTTAGGACATTCTCCTCTACAGCAGCTGGTGCGAAGCCGAACAAGTGTTCTCCGACATCGCGTCGTCATGGCGACAGCATCGCAGCCAATCAGCTGCCCGCCAGCGAGCGGCGCGGCGCGCATGGTGCGGGTGTCATCGACGGAGAAGATGGACTTCGCGCCGCACCTGCGCGACGTGTCGCAGTTCTCCTCCACGCCCACCTCGCGCATAGCCGGCACGCCGCCGTCGCGCGGCGAGTCGCTGGGAGACTCCCAAGGCGTGGCGGCGCGCGCGTTCTTCAACTTCGGCAAGCCGGCGCTGCCCGACGTGGTGGAGGCGGGCGACCCCGTGCTGCACGAGCCCGCGCGCCCCGTGCCCGCCACCGTGAGTGCCGCTCGCCGTGAGTGCCGCTCGCTATGAGTGCCCCTCGCCGTGAGTGAGTGGTGCGGGGTGCCCTTGTGGATGAATGATGCGGGCGAGTGCGTGGGGGGTGAGTGTCTGAACTCATGAGCCTTAAGTGCCCACTGCGTGCGCGCCTCGTAGATGCGCGTCGTCGTGGCAGCCTGTTACAGTGTGGCATCATCATTTCCAATATAACGGGCAGCCGTGGACAAGCACGTTCATAATATGAATAGCCGTCACAGCATCGAGCGTGACAATGCCGAAGTTTACAGAGCGTGGAGGTCGATACACCACCTGCTTCATATTCACGATTTCCGCTGCCCGTTAACCGTGCACTCTCTGCTCTTTCCCGTATTCTCCCTCTTTCCAACCCGTTCGCTAATCCACCTCCGTGCCTCGTGGCATCAGGACATTGGCAGTCCGGAGATAGAGAAGATCATTAACGACATGGTGGCAGTCATGCGCGCTGCGCCAGGTGTCGGCCTCGCAGCCAACCAAATCGGCCACCCACTGCAGGTACGGGCACTGCAGGTACGGGCACTGCAGGTACGGGCACTGCAGATACGGGCACTGCAGGTATGGGCAGTGTAGGTTTGGGCACTGCAGGTACGGGCAGTGTAGGTATAGCCGTCAGCTATGGCAGTGGGGTACGGCATTCCTAAAGAACATTGAAGCCACCTGGGCTATTGGTGGGCGCGTCCGAACTCGCGTCTCCTCCCACCGCCCACAGCCCGTTTTTTTCCCGCTGCTCTGTGCGCTTACCGCGTGTGAGTGTGTGCGTATGCAAGCGCAGATAATAGTTCTGGAGGACACGGTGGAGCTGATGAAGGCGTGCGACCCTGAGGAAGTGAAGCAGCAGGAGCGCCAACCCTTCAACCTGCTGGTATGCGCGGAGTCCACGGGTGATTGGGTGACTGGATGAGCGAGTGAGTGGGCATTGAGTCAGTGAATAAACAGAATGGCGGGTTGAATAAACAGGACGGAGAATGGAATGAACGAACGGCCGACTGCCTTCGCATGAGATATTTGATGCTTCACTTTTAAGGGACTCAACGAGAGGGCATTGAAGGAAGATATAATAAAACGAACGGGCCACTCTTCTTGCCACCATGGCATTAGGGCGTGGAACATTTTTATGACCACGCCGATTTGTCGACCATATGGTTGGATCTGGCGAAAGCGAAGGATGTAACAGTGATGCGAAGGGTGCGAAATTATCTTAGCTATTCTGCTCGCCAGCACGTGGGACACCTAGTAAAAACCACCCCCCACTAAGCAGAAACATTTGTTCCCAGGTTAAGCATTCGAAAGGGGTGTGGGAGCGGGAAACGAGTAGAGTATAAGCCAACCACAATCGGGGGTAATTACTGGAAGCCAAACAATATCCTCTTTTTAATCGATAGTGTGAGTAGAGGCTCTAAATTACTTACGAGAATACAAGTGAATTTCGGTCAAGTCAGGGTGAATATTACACATGCGAGTCAATGGGGTTTCCTTAAATTCCTTCGCCATCGCCAGAAACAACCATCTATCCGACCATTTGGCATGTTCGTTAAAATGTTCCACGCCCTTACTCTCCCAACCATATGTCCCCCACTTGCTGCTGCACTGGCACTGCGCGCCAATGGCAGGTGATAATCAACCCCGTGCTCAAGCCCGTGGGCGACACCAAGGCTCGCTTCTTCGAAGGCTGCCTCAGGTGCCCTTCCCGCTCCCTCCCTCCCTCCCCCCCTCCCTCCCTCCTGCCCTCCCTCCCTCCCTCCCTCCCTCCCTCCCTCCCTCCCTCCCTCCCTTGCTCCCTCCATCCCTTACTCCCTCGCTCCCTCCCTCGCTCCCTCCCTCGCTCCCTCCCTCCCTTGCTCCCTCCCCCCCTCCCTCGCTCCCACGCTCCCTCGCCCCACCCTTATTCTCTCCCTCCCCCCCTCTCTCGCTCCCTCCCACCCTCCCTCGCTCCCTCGCCCCCGCCCTTGCTCCCTCCCCCCCTCCTGCGCTCCCACGCTCCCACGTTCCCTCGCCCCACCCTCCCTCGCTCCCTCGCCACCCCCCTCCCTCGCGCCCGCAATGCCATGACACGGGCGACATGGGCGCCTCAATGCCATCACCAAGTCAAGTCTCACTCGTCTCCCCACGCCCCCTACCTCTGCGCGTGCATTCCCCCCTTGGTGTGTGGCAGTGTGAATGGGTACCGGGGCATGGTGGAGCGGTACAGAGAGGTGGAGGTGTCAGGGCTGGCGCGGGACGGCAAGCCCATCACAGTGCATGCCACGGGCTGGCAGGCCAGGATCCTGCAGGTCAGTGCAGTGCGGTGGCTGCTGCTGTGGTGAGGGCAGGAATGCTGCGGAAGTGTGATGGAGGCGGACAGGCTGATGTTGAGTGTTGGAAGGCGCTGTGTGGAGGACCTTGTTTGCAAGGACTGCTCTCTCATGCTCTCACTTCGCTCCCCCTCTCTCTCAAACTTCTCTCCACTGCGATGCTCATTCGTATGCTCTACTCGTTTCCCCTCTCTCTTCTTCTTCCACACTATCAAAGTCACGTCCCATTGCCCTCATCAAATTCCTCCCCTCACGTCCCAACATCCACATGCCGTCACATTGTCTCCACTCCACCCCCCTGTACCCGCGGTGGCTGCGCTGCACCGCCACCAGCACGAGTGCGACCACCTCGCAGGGCTCATCTACGTCGACAGGATGGTTCCTCGCACCTTCCGCACCTCTGGTAACCTGCGCCTGCCCTTGCCTGTGGGGTGCCCCCAGCCCGGGTGCTGCTGAGGCAAGGAGAGCCACGTGGAGGCAATGACCTTGGTGTAACGTCAGGGGGAATAGCTGGAAGGGGTAAGGGGGACGGAGAGGGATGGGGGTAGCTTAGGAGGGGCGAGTCTTTTCCTGGAATCTGCTTGCACGTGGCGAATGCTGTCGGCCTGAGTACTGCTGTGGAGCAAAGGGAGAGGAAGATGAGGTGAGAGTGAGAGGCGGCTGAAAGAGTTGGCCTTGGCTGATGTGCCTGCTGCCGGCTCTGGTGGTGGTGGAAAGGAAGATTGGAGGCAGCAGGGAGCTGAGAGGTGGATGTGAGGTGGTAAGGTAGGCAAGGAAATGCACAGAATAGAAACCAGAGTGTTTTACTGATGACTGACTGAGACAAGGTCACGTGAAAGGAAGCAAGGTGGGCAGAGGTAGGGCAGGTAAATATGCCCCACTGTTGAGTGTGTCGTGGTTGAGGCCGTTCATTCCAATATACGTTTATTAACTGTGGGGTGGTTGAAGGGTTCTTTACTGAGTTGTAGAGTACGGTATGTATGTACACGTTGCCCGTTTGTGTTGTTGAAGTGTATTGTGAGAGCAGAGTGTACGGTAATCAATGGGAAGCTGATTCAGAGAGATGAGGCACGATACAGCCAACCCCACTATGGAGAGCACCACCAGTACAACAAGTGTATTACCGGTAGTAATGGTATACTAGTGTATTGAGAAATGCTTAGCCTTAACACCTTTGTAGAATAGTATACCACCTGGAATGGCCGGCATGTATGGATGGACACAATAACTACAATGGGAAACATTATATACACAGATACAAATATACAGAAGGTCTAAATCAGGCGTACTGTAACTGGAAACATTCAGCTGAAACATCCCCGTCACTGGCAAGCCACGTGGCACAGCACCCCACCATGCGCAGCCATGGGCACATCACATGCGGAACACTCCATATCTGGGGCCAGCACCAGTGAGGGTGTGAGCAGCGGGCATGCCGGCTTGGGTGGCGGCGAGGGCGAGGGAGAGCACGGTGCGGGAGTGGGCGGGGTCGATGATGCCGTCGTCCCACAGCCGCGCCGTTGAGAAGAACGCCGAGCCCTCGCTGTCGTACCGCTGCGCTATGCCCTGCTTGAACGCGCGCTCCTCCTCCTCGCCCCACTGCGGTGTGCGGTGGCGAAAGGCCGGGAAAGAGAGAGGAACAGGGGGCAGAGAGGGCAGAGGGCAGAGCGCAGCAGGACAGTCAGACATGAGTAGGACAGAGCGTGAATGAAACATGATACTGGTTTCATGTTGGGCAATGGAGGATGGACGGATGGGTTCATGGGCAGACGGGAGCACAGGAGAACAGGTGCAAGGGGGGAAGATGGAAACAGACTGACCGGAGTGCCATCACGTGCTCTCTTGTCCTTCTCCACTTGCGCCAACACCCCTGCCGCCTGCCATTGTGCCATCCATGCCGTATGATGGCATGGCAGAAAAAGGAAGGGACACATTCAGGGGAAGTAGTGATTGAACAAGTGCTGATAGACCCAGTCACAGCGAAGCACAAAACCCTTGCCTTGCATGGTATGCCAGCACAAATTGCACATTGTCCTCACCTGCTGGCCGCCCAGACTCACCTGCTGGCCGCCCAGACTCACCTGCTGGCCGCCCAGACTCACCTGCTGGCCGCCCAGACTCACCTGCTGGCCGCCCAAACCCACCTGCTGGCCGCCCATGACGGAGATGCGCGCGGAGGGCCAGAGGAAGAGGAAGTTGGGCGAGTAGGCGCGGCCACACATGCCGTAGTTGCCCGCCCCAAAGCTGCCGCCCACCACCAGCGATATCTTAGGCACCTGCGCATGGTGGGCGCGGGTGGTATAGGGCAGATGGAGGGAAGCAGATGAGAGGAGAGAAATGGGAGCAAAGTACATGGGATGGAGGCAGGGGGATGGAGGCAGGCATATGGTGCAATGGGGCGTGGGGGGCAGATGTGGGGGGCGCTCCGAGGCGGCTCTCCTAGTCACGTGTGGGATAGACTGATGCAGACGATAAAAGCATACGTGGCACATGGCATTGGGACGGGCGTACCTGAGCACATGCAACAGCCATAACCATCTTGGCCCCTGCCTTGGCTATGCCCGCACTCTCTGCTGCCCGCCCCACCTGCACACACAGAGGAGGAAATGGATTCATGTAGGAGAGCCATGAAGGCATTGGCACATGCCACGTGGACTCGAAGCATGATCTGTTCAGTGTGCCATGTGATCTAGGGTATAGTGCCATGAGGTATGACATGAAAGCCCTCATGGCTCACCATGAAGCCGGAAATGTTGTGCAGGAAGAGCAGCGGGGTGCGCCGGTGGTCACAGAGCTGCACGAAGTGCGCGCCCTTGAGCGCCGCATCCACCACCAGCACGCCGTTGTTCGCCACCACGCCCACCTCCTGACCCTGCACCCTCGCAAACCCACACACCAGCGACTGCCGCCCGTCACAGGGGAAACGGGAGGGACCGGAGGGGAGGGTGGGGAGAGGGGTTGGGAAACGGGTCGAAGAGAAACTTTTGAAGTTGCAATGCAACCATCCTTTGATTTTTTCTCGTCAAACATTGAACAGGTATGCCATGCAAGAGCACGGTGCGAGCAAAGCGAGCATGCACCCACAGAGCCATAGAGGCGCTTGAACTCATCGAACTGGCTGCCGTCCACCAGCCGCGCGATCACCTCCCGCATGTCCACCCCCCTCGCCTCCGCCGCCCCCTCCTCCTCGCCCCCCTCGCCCTCCCCCTTGCGCCCCTCCCCCCCCACTATGGGCGCCAGCCCCCTCAGCTCCTCCGCTGGGAAGAGCGGCTCCTCCCATGCACGGCGGGACAGGGGCGAGGGGAGCGGTGGGAGGGCGGGTGAGGTGGAGGAGGAGGCGGGATGTGAGGAGGGCAGCAAGGCGAGAATGCGCCTGGCGATGGCAATGGCGTGCAGCTCGTCTGCGGGGAAGGGGAGCGGGAGGGGGTGGATGGATACCAAATTACAGGTCTGTGGAGTGAAGTGCGGCATGGGAGTGTGCATGTGAAATGGCGGCATGTGCGGGTGATGTGCAGCTTTCTGTGAGATGCACACGCCCACCTCCCCAGCCATCAACGCCCCTACCATCACCCCTGCCTGCCCTGATCGCGTGTCCGCCATCTCCCCGCGCGGCATGCTCGTCTGTGCCCAAGCACCTCTCACTCACCGCGCGCCAGGTGGTCCGTCACTCACCGCGCGCCAGGTGGTCCGTCACTCACCGCGCGCCAGGTGGTCCGTCACTCACCGCGCGCCAGGTGGTCCGTCACTCACCGCGCGCCAGGTGGTCCGTCACTCACCGCGCGCCAGGTGGTCCGTCACTCACCACGCGCCAGGTGGTCCGTCACGCCCGACACCCGGCTGTGCACCGCCCCTCCCCCCAACGCCTCTGCTGTCACCTCCTCCCCTGTCGCCGCCTGCGATAGATGGCGTGCACACACACATGCACGCAAGCACACAGACAGACACATGTGCACATATGAGCACACAGCAACCGGGAAATCTCATGATGCCAGTGGGGGTGGTGCAGACCTTCCGTCTTCCTTGAGCACCTCGCTGTCTTCCTTGAGCACCTCGCTGTCTTCCTTGAGCACCTCGCTGTCTTCCTTGAGCACCTCGCTGTCTTCCTTGAGCACCTCGCTGTCTTCCTTGAGCACCTCGCTGTCTTCCTTGAGCACCTCGCTGTCTTCCTTGAGCACCTCGCTGTCTTCCTTGAGCACCTCGCTGTCTTCCTTGAGCACCTCGCTGTCTTCCTTGAGCACCTCGCCATCTGACTACCCTCACACACGCTTCTCCTGCTTGCCATAATGCACCACAACTCTGCATTCTTGTATTTGCACCGGATATGCACAATTGTTTTGACTCTTGGAAATTGGTTTCACTGTTGTTGATACTTTGTTAGCTGTTGGGCAGACTGAGCAAGTACAGCACAGGCGCACCTTGACGAGTGGTGGCCCGCCGAGGAAAATGGTACCCTGGCGGTGCACGACAATGCTCTCGTCCGCCATGGCCGGCACGTACGCGCCCCCCGCCGTGCAGCTGCCCATCACCACCGCGATCTGCGGTATGCCGTCCCGTGACATGCGCGCCTGGGGGGGGAGGGAAGCAGGGGGGAGGGTTGGGAAGGAAGGGGTTGGGCAAATGAGTGGGGATGGAACAAGGGATGATTGGGGAGAGGAACGGGAGGACGTTGGAAGAATGAGTGAGAAGAAAGCAGGTGATGTTCAGGGCGAGATGGGGTTGACGGGAGAAGGAGAGACTACAGCCTACGCGTGAATGATAAGCGCTGTGTAGCACGAGTTAGCGTGCGCCGTGCATGAGGGAGGGAGGGAGGGAGGGAGGGAGGGCGGGGCTGACCTGGTTGAAGAAGATGCGGCCGAAGTGGTCGCGGTCTGGAAACACGTCCGCCTGCCGTGGCAGGTTGGCGCCTCCGCTGGGAATAGGTGGGGTGAACGGGATGGGTGGGGTGACAGGGATGAGTGGGATGAGTGGGATGAGGGTGGCTGTAAGAGAGCAATGGTGGACCTTAGTTGGTGAAATATACGATAACGTTTTACAGCAATGTTTCACCATAAATGTTTCAAGTTGCGTGAGTGGGTGAACTCAAAACGATTTCCTAAACTCAGCGCAGGCTGTACCTGTCAACGAGGTAGATGCAGGGCAGGCGGCACTGAGCAGCGATCTCCTGTGCTCTGAGGTGCTTCTTCACGGTGATGGGGTAGTACGTGCCGCCCTTCACTGTAGCGTCGTTCGCCACTATCACACTCACCCGCCCGCCCACGCGCCCTAACCCCGTCACGATGCCCCCCCCCGGCACCTCCTCCTCCCCGTACATGCCCATGCCCGCCAGCTGGAACGACATGGGCGGAGAGGGGGGGAAAAGGTGGGAGGGAGAGCGGCGGGGAGGTGGGGTTGTTGAGGAGGACAGATGGGGAGATGGCGATGGCAGAGGCGGGAAGGTGAGAATACGGGAGTGAGGCTAATGGTGGTGGAGAGGTGAACGGGCGGACAGAGGAGGGATGGGGTTCTATGTGCGGAGAGAGGGCTAGGAGAGGGCGAGGGGGAGGGAGGTGGGGACCTGGGAGAGTTCGAGGAAGGGCGAGGCGGGGTCGAGCAGGCGGTCGATGCGCTCGCGGGGCAGCAGCTTGCCGCGCCTGTGCTGCCGCTGCACCGCCTTGGGACCCCCTCCTTGCAGCACCTGCTGGGCGCCCGGGTGGGGCAGCACGCAGGGTGCAGGGGCGTGGCGTGAGAGTGAGGGAGGGCGGCACACAGGCACTATCTCGCAGTCCGCCTCACTCCACCACCACCACCCGCTTGCATCTTCCCACCTCCGCCCAATTGCCCGCCCTCGCCACGCTCACCCTCCCCTGCCCTCGCAGCTATGTGTGTGCGACGTACAGTGCGTGTCGCCTGACTGCTGTGCGACGTACCGTGTCCGTCGCCTGTCGCAGCTCGCCCAGCAATCGCTCCATCGCCTTCTCTCGCAGTCGAAACGCCGCGCCGTGCACGTCCACGTCGCCGCCAATCGCGGCCACGCGGGGAACGGGGGAGAACGGCACGCGCCTGGCGGAACTGGCGGAACTGGCGGGGCTGGCGGGGCTGGCGGAGGACGCGGCGACTGAAGGCGACGCGGCTGACGGACAAATGGCGGACGCTGATTGGGTGGGACAGGCGGAGAGCGAGAAGAACGGGCGGCCAGGAGCTGTGGGCAAAAGCTCGAAGGCCGCCGACACGGCAGCGGTCGCATGGCGATGCGATGGCAGCAGCCGCCTTGGGACCTCCGCGGCTCCTCTCCGCGAAACGCGCACAGCGACTGACATCATGGCTCCCGCCAGTGCTTTGCTGCTGCGCGGTGTGTGCTGATGGTTGGTGGTGGGTGCTTCTTGCTGGTACGCGGAGTGGTGGCGGGGGTGTGGGCTAGTTGTGGGGCGGTAGCGACCACCCTTTGATCTACACTCTCTGCTCTTGCTACTGTGGGGAAGGGAGGCGAGCAAGCCAAAGTTCTATGGAATGGAGGTCGATGGCAGCAGACGTTTGTGGTCCCTTGCCCAGACTGCTGCTCGCAGCAGAGCGAGCCAAGTGACGGTTGCATCGAACGAGTGATTTTTTACCACCGCTACTGAGTGCCCCGGTAAGAACGTCGCGCTGAGAAGGAAAAATGCTTGCCAGACACAAGCACGATGCTGTGACGTGGCATCGACATGGAATGACATGTAACGACGAACAGCCACGGTTGAGGCAATTGACTGCCTGTTACACAGGCTCACCATAAGTTTCGTGGGTAAAAGCAATTCACGAAGTACATGCTTCGCAAATCCCCAACCCAGCTCACTTAAAACTTGAATATACATATGCAATATGGAGTTTCAAACTTTTGAAATTTGAAAAGCTGGTCTCCCTCTCAGGGCTCTTGCTAACTTTTAAGCCCGTCTTACGTTTTGGGGGAAAAAAAAATCGTCTGACACTCATACGAGGGATTCTTGGCGGTCTTAAAGCCAGCAGCTAAAATAGTGACCCCCCCCCCCCCCCCTTCTAGTTGGGTCCAACTTGAAGACCCAAGTTTCTTTGTAGTGTTGTGGAAGGTTGAAGTACTGTGCGCGTGTTTTTCTTCCAGCTCCAGACAAGTTTCGGAGTGAACAAGGACAAAAGTTCCTTCTCAATTTTGATTGGCAGCCAAACAGATGTGCCAATTTGGCGCAAAGAGCTACGACGTGCAAGGCAGTGCAACCATTTGACGAGTCGTGACTTCATCAAATGCACATCTAGCAACAGCACAGACAAGATCCCAAGCACACACATATACTGAAGAATACGAGTAAGTGCAGCAGAGGCAGCGACGGGAATGAAGGGAAGACATCGATTGAGACGGAATTGGAGGGATATCGTGAGGGCGGGATGAAGGGAGGGGTGATTGTGAGGGCGACAGGGCTATGGCAGGGCGACGGGACGGACGATATAGCCGAATCACGGCGGGGCTCGCTAGCAAATGCGCAGGCGAGGGGCAGCGAGAGGAGGTGCGACGAGGAGGGCGTGAGCGTGTAGGAGATGGGAGGGGAGAGCGTGAGCGCGAGGGAGATGCGACGGGGAGAGCGTAAGTAATGTTTGAATACTAAGACTGAATGGTTCGCCCGATGAAAATTTCTAACAGAAAATAAATCTAAGTTAATTCATAGTTCCGAAAGGAGAGAGCCGCATAACCCACGTCCCTTTCAGTGCCCAATGTCATCTTAAAGAAACAACTTAATCAGGCACGGTAGTACTTCGAGCGAGAACAGCGAGAGCGACGTACATCTCAAAAATCATGAATTGTTTTACATACGCTACATATAGTAGCAACATACCCTACAGTATGCAAAAAGTATGGGTCATTACAGGTACCATAAAGTAGCATGCGTCGTAGGTATTTAGTATGGTCCATTTAGATACTAAGCAGTAGTGCGCAAATAGTAGCAAAATAGCAAGTAAACAGTATGCAAATAGTAAACGCCAAATAGTAGCCTTTCAGTACCTTCATGGTTTCCATATGGTATGAATCAGTGTTCTCCAAACAGTAGGCACTAGGTATGTTTTAGATTTCCTGATTGTATCTGTTTCTATTGAAGTTTAGACATGTTTTTGTTGGACACATAGTACCATTTTCTTATATAAACAATATGTTTCTGGTTTTTGTATGTTTATCATTCCCAGCGTCTTATTCGTATGCTTTCGGCAACCAGTTACAATACCAGCGACCATTGAAAGGTATTTATTCCATTTGCCGAAATCCATTTTTGAGCCTACAATACATTCCTACCACCTACTCTATCGTACTACGCTGTGCTCAAATAAGCACAATATTGCCACATGGCAATCATCATCACCAATACACCACCACATAACCCATGCACTCAATACTCATCATCCCCTTCATCCATCCAATTGCCTACCTCGTTATCATCGTCATCACGACCATCACCCTGCGCCTGACAGCCTCTCTTGGCCTCAACCTTGTCGGCCTGCATCCTGCAATACTTCACCAGGATCTCCGCCTCCTCCTGGTCCCTCTTGTCAGGATCTGCGCCGTCGGGGATGTGATTCGGAAAGCCGCTGCCCGAGATGACAACGGTGCCCGTCGGTCCGAATACCCATCCCTGGTGATCCGCATCCCAAGACGGCAGCTGGTCATCAGGAGTGTCATCCAGATACTTCTTGATCGCCGCCTTCACCTTCCTGTGAAGCGAGAGGATCTGGTCGTGGTTGACGCAGGCATCGGTTGAAACCTTCTTGCCGTTGGTGGTGTGATGCTGAACACCGTGCTCAACCTGCCAAATAGCATACAGAAGAGGGCGGGATGGCAATAAATACAATGAATATAGTACCGGACCGCATTTAGTCATGATTCAGCAAACAGCAGCAAAGGTGGCAACACGGGGGCAGCAGGGAGCACACAAGGGGGAATGGGATATGGGCATAGGGGAAGTGTGCTGGAGGGTCTTGCGACATGGCAGGAGTGACTGCCCCTGCACAAGGGGCAACAGAGGCACATAGGTGGGGTTGGGAGGAAGGGAAGAGGGTGAGGATGAGGTGAGCGGAAGGCCTGGAGTGACTGCCCCTGCACAAGGGGCAACAGAGGCACATAGGTGGGGTTGGGAGGAAGGGAAGAGGGTGAGGATGAGGTGAGCGGAAGGCCTGGAGTGACTGCCCCTGCACAAGGGGCAACAGAGGCACATAGGTGGGGTTGGGAGGAAGGGAAGAGGGTGAGGATGAGGTGAGCGGAAGGCCTGGAGTGACTGCCCCTGCACAAGGGGCAATAGAGGCACATAGGTGGGGTTGGGAGGAAGGGAAGAGGGCGAGGATGAGGTGAGCGGAAGGCCTGGAGTGACTGCCCCTGCACAAGGGGCAACAGAGGCACATAGGTAGGGTTGGGAGGAAGGGTAGAGGGTGAGGATGAGGTAAACGGAAGGCCTGGAGTGATTGCCACTGCAAAAGGGGCAACAGAGGCACATTCGGTGGGGTTGGGAGGAAGGGTAGAGGGTGAGGATGAGGTTAGCGGAAGGCTTGGAGTGACTGCCCCTGCACAAGGGGCAACAGAGGCACATGGGTAGGGTTGGTAGGAAGGGTAGAGGGTGAGGATGAGGTGAGCAGAAGGCCTGGAGTGATTGCGACTGCAAAAGGGGCAACAGAGTCACATAGGTGGGGTTGGGAGGAAGGGTAGAGGGCGAGGATGAGGTGAGCGGAAGGCCTGGAGTGACTGCCACTGCAAAAGGGGCAACAGAGGCACATAGGTAGGGTTGGGAGGAAGGGTAGAGGGCGAGGATGAGGTGAGCGGAAGGCGTGGAGTGACTGCCACTGCATAAGGGGCAACAGAGGCACATTCGGTGGGGTTGGGAGGAAGGGTAGAGGGTGAGGATGAGGTGAGCGGAAGGCCTGGAGTGACTGCCACTGCACAAGGGGCAACAGAGGCACACAGGTGGGGTTGGGAGGAAGGGAAGAGGGTGAGGAGGAGGTGAGCGGAAGGCCTGGAGTGACTGCCCCTGCACAAGGGGCAACAGAGGCACATAGGTGGGGTTGGGAGGAAGGGAAAAGGGAAGTTGTGGGTATAGGGAAAGGGGTACCTGAATGAGGGGAAGATGGGAACTGTGAGTACAACAAAAATCAAGACAGAGGTGAGCAAAGAGGAGAATATATAACAGCAGCGCATGAGTGCTCATGTGTGGATTTGGGGGCTTACCAAATACAGGACGTATGCAATGTGGAAAGCCTTGATGACAGTCGCAGAACCACCAACACCCTTTTGAAACGCATTCCGAATGATGATGTCAAACAGCCCCGTTGCAAAAGGGCGGTTCAGCTTGTCATCCACATGCCATCGCAGCAGTCCGCTTTTGACTGCCAAACAATGGAATGCGAGGGGGAGTGATGGGCATGGAAGGAGCAGCAGAGGAGAAGAGGAGGGACAGAGGGATTGGAGTGATGGGCAAAGGGAATGGAGAGGAGCAAAGGAGGGACAGAGGGAATGGAGTGATGGGCAAAGGGAATGGCACAATCAGCTATAAGGTGCACCGTTTGTATTTTTAACTCGTTGTGCAACGTAGTGTAATTTCCCGGTTGTGCGACGTTAGACCGATGCACAAGTCCATCTTAGTTCTAAGTGTGTTGCACATTAGTATATTCATAGTGCAATTTGGTTCAAACCGAGTTTTTGACTGGTTAAACGTTGGAGGTTGTACAGTGGCGCGGACAGTCGATCACTGCGTAGCCGAGTTCCACGGTTTGAATTTCGAACTTCATCCTAGTTGAGTCCAAGTAAAGACCATTGCCCACGATCATATGCAACGCGTCGGTAGGCCATTCAAGGGCGACGTTCTAGTCAAGGGCGCATCGTCGGAACGTGCGACACGAGTGTATTCCACGTAGGGACGATCACATAGCTCCTCCAGAGTATAAATTGCCTCTTCCATGCCTATTCCACAGTTTAGGCACACAATGGCTGTTGGTAGAGCGGTGAGGATACTCATGTTGAGCGTCATCTTGTGCGAATGGTGCGCTGTGTTCATTGGCACCTATCGACTTCTATCCGTACATCAAGCATCGAGCCTGCATTGTCGCATAGAACAGGCGCGCTACAAGGACGCGGGGTACTCTCGAGGCCCATACCATCTCGACAAAAATGGCGACATCGTTAAAAACCCGGTACCGTCATGTTGCAATGCCAAGCGTAGGAGAACCGTAGCGCATGAGCCGGTCATAGCACAGCCCCCAACGGAAGAGCAGTCGCCAGATCCGCCGCCTGTTCCGGCAAGCGCTGCACCAGATGTTGATGACGAGCTCGGTGCGGAAGAGCTCGATGCTAACGAAATGGCCGTACCACGTACCATATGGCTACCCGAACCGAGTTTCGACACCCGTAAGGAGGTTATGCTTCTCATGCAATCGTTCAACGACGGTCAAGGGATGACAGTAGAGCAAAGCAAACGGTTTCTGACCGTGATGTCGCATCCCGAGCTTCGACCTGAAGAATTGGCTGGATGGAGAAGCATCAAAGACTCTAAAAAATGGGCAGCGGACCAATGGGGAGAGAAGGCTTCCGAGTGGACAACGACAATGGTTGAGGTTCCCGGTGTTATGGAGGATGGACGGCCCCTTCTCGTGCCGCTCAAGCATGCAAACACTCTCAAAGTGAGACTTCTGTATCCTTCATAACCATACCCTCCGTACCTCCTCTGTTCCCACCCATTCTGTTCGAATGCCCCCTCTGTTCCGTACCCTCCTCTGTTCCCACCCATTCAGTTCCTTACCCCCTCAGTTCCGTACCCTCATCTGCTCCCTACCCCCCTCTGCTCCTACCCTCCACTCTTCAAACCCTCCTCTGTTCACACCCCTTTTGTTCCCTACCCCCTCTGTTCCGTACCCTCCTCTGTTCCCACCCATTCAGTTCCCTACCCCCTCTGTTCCGTACACGGTTCTGTTCCCTACCCCCCTCTGCTCCTACCCTCCACTCTTCAAACCCTCCTCTGTTCACACCCCTTTTGCTCCCTACCCCCTCTGTTCCGTACCCTCCTCTGTTCCCAACCATTCAGTTCCCTACCCTCCACTGGTCCTACCCTCCTCTGTCACTACCCTCCACTGGTCCTACCCTCCTCTGTTACTACCCTCCACTGGTCCTACCCTCCTCTGTTCCTACCCTCCACTGGTCCTACCCTCCTCTGTTCCCACCCATTCTGTTCGAATGCCCCCTCTGTTCTGTACCCTCCTCTGTTCCCACCCATTCAGTTCCTTACCCCCTCTGTTCCGTACCCTCGTCTGTTCCCTACCCCCCTCTGCTCCTACCCTCCACTCTTCAAACCCTCCTCTGTTCACACCCCTTTTGTTCCCTACCCCCTCTGTTCCGTACCCTCCTCTGTTCCCAACCATTCAGTTCCCTACCCTCCACTGGTCCTACCCTCCTCTGCTACTACCCTCCACTGGTCCTACCCTCCTTTGTTCCTACCCTCCACTGGTCCTACCCTCCTCTGTTCCCACCCATTCTGTTCGAATGCCCCCTCTGTTTAGTACCCTCCTCTGTTCCCACCCATTCAGTTCCCTACCCCCTCTGTTCCGTATCCGGTTCTGTTCCCTACCCCCCTCTGCTCCTACCCTCTACTCTTCAAACCCTCCTCTGTTCACACCCCTTTTGTTCCCTACCCCCTCTGTTCCGTACCCTCCTCTGTTCCCAACCATTCAGTTCCCTACCCTCCACTGGTCCTACCCTCCTCTGTCACTACCCTCCACTGGTCCTACCCTCCTCTGTTACTACCCTCCACTGGTCCTACCCTCCTCTGTTACTACCCTCCACTGGTCCTACCCTCCTCCGTTCCTACCCTCCATTGGTCCTACCCTCCTCTGTTCCTACCCTCCACTGGTCCTACCCTCCTCTGTTCCTACCCTCCACTGGTCCCACCCTCCTCTGTTACTACCCTCCTTTGCTGCATACGCACCACTGTTCTTACCCTCGGTGTTCCTACCAACCTTTGTTTCAACCATGGTATGTATACACAACAGATGTTCCTTCCTGAATGGGCATGTTTTATGTTGCGCCTGCCATTGACGTGGCCACATTGCACAAGCTATTTTTGAGGATATCAAGAACCAGCCGGGGTTTGCCTTGTTTCCGAGTGAAAAGAAGGTTAACAACAAACGTGTGTACACTCGACCTCAGCATTGTGACTGGTGGTTGGAGGCACAGGTATGTTCCTGCCTGCTAGTGGTATCTTTTACCACCACATGTTCTCTGCTTCTGTTCACAAACCTTGACTGGCATACACTGTCTGCGTGGCAGCATGCTCTTGGTTACTCTGATGAGGTCGTTGCCGCCCTTATAGTGTATTCCGACGTCACCCAGTTGTGAAAAAACGACATGCAGAAGGTGTGGCCATTGGGTAATATTGCTGTTGAGCACCGTTGGAAGCTGAGTGCTAAACAGATGGTGGCTATGTTGCCAATGCCACGCTCGACATGGAGTAGCCATGTGAAGACCCAACTCTATCAAGCGTGTATGCAGATCATTCTTCAGCCACTCCTTGATGCCTCCAACAGGTAAGAGGGGTTCCGCGACTTCTTTTTTCAGAGCTGCTTGTTGAGTGAGCGACACTAACTACTCGTTCATCCACCTGATCCATGCACTCCAACGGGGTGCACATGGTCGGACCCGCACGATGATCTCAGGACTGTGTGGCCATTACTATATTGCGTTGCTGGGGATTACCCGGATACGTGCAAGGTATCTTGCACGTTTCAGCACAACAGCCATCGCCCTTGTTCGCTCTGCTACGTCCGCAAGGAAGACCTTGATGACCTCTCCAAGGTCAGCAAGTTGCGGAATGTTTGGGAGCAGCGATTCATAATGTCCAAGTACAGCGCTCTTTCTCCTACCAACAAGACACTTGCCGCGAATTTTCCGAAGAATTGGTCAACATTTCTGGTTCCTGTAAGTGCGGCTCAAGTTTCTTGTACTAATAACCTTATTTGCATGTTGCCAGACAGTTGTCCACGACACGCCCCACGATGCATGATCGGACAGTACGTATTGCATGTTCTAAGGGTGTTTGTTACCTTGTTTACACACCCTCGCAGACCTTCCTTTGGGGTTGGCGCTTCTGTGAGACACCATGGGAGACACCATGCCGGACGTCCTACACCAATCTGATGTTGGTGTTTGGACACACATTCGTGAGGCTATCGCCCGGCTGCCGAGTGCAAAGGATGGTTCCCTAGACGCGTGAGTGTTGCTTGTCCACATTCCTAGCACCCCACATTCCTACCTGCCCAAGTGCTCACATGCCCAAGTGCTCACACGCCCATATGCACTACCTCCCCTTTTGAGTGTCTTGAAGATCGATGCCCTCCCCCTCGTTGTTACCCACATCAGGCGCCACAAGTAGCTATGGATGCACGGCCGCATAGCGGGGCTGAAACTACCTCAACCTGGAAATTATTTCACTTCGGCTGCAAGCGTTTCAGCAGCTGAGCACAGAGCTGTCATGCAGGTCGCGATCTTCATTTTGGAGGGGCTGGTGGAGGACAAACACATGGAGGCGGTTAAGGCTTATCTTAGGTGGTACAAGGCGACTTTTCGGCCCCGCTATCACACCGACGAAAGCCTAGCAAATGTGAAGACGCTTGCAATTGAGTGAGTAGTTGCGTTACACCCCACGTGCCATCCTGCCCCTAGCATTCCATCCCATGTGCCATCCTGCCCCTAGCATTCCATCCCACGTGCCTTCCTGCCCCTAGCTTTCCATCCCATGTGCCATCCTGCCCCTAGCATTCCATCCCATGTGCCATCCTGCCCCTAGCATTCCATCCCATGTGCCATCCTGCCCCTAGCATTCCATCCCATGTGCCTTCCTGCCCCTAGCATTCCATCCCATGTGCCTTCCTGCGCCGCGGGGGCGAGCGAATGGCGCATGTGGGGCATGTAACCAGCAGGGTGTTGCGCGGTAGGACAGCGCTCGCTGCGCAGTCTGTCATGAGTCCCATGACGCGCTGTGGCGCGCTCATCCATCCTCGTTTCTGCATGGCAGAGGTAGGCTGAAATGAAGACAGGGATGACTTGGCGCCTCGTGCGATTCACGTCTTGTTTGGCATTTTATAAACACGCGTCCATTGCACCCACGTTCTTGTTTCAGCTCAGCCTCCCAACCATCCCTTTCTCCTCCCTCCCTCATCTTCCTTCCTTCCTCCCCGACCCTCCTCCCCGACCCTCCTCCCCGACCCTCCTCCCTCTCCCACAGATTGCAACCAAGCACGGCATGGGCCTACTGTTTGGTGTGGAGGTGGCGCACGTGGCTTAAACAAACTCTCATAAGTGTCTCCTTGCCACGCTCCTTCTACTCCCCCTCAGATTGCCATCCAGCAAGGCATGGACCTGCTGTTTGGGCCGGAGGTGGCGCACGTGACGAGCGACGAGCAGGCCATATTCATCGACCTGCCCGCCAACATGGTGAGTCAGTGTGAGTGCCGCCACGCGCACAATCACTAGGCGCCGCACAAAGTGGCACACGAGTGGCGCACGCCAGTGGCGATGCGCGATGGGATGGCTGCAGTGCGATGCAATGCGAAGCGAGAGACGCCTTGCAATGTGATGCGATGCGAATGCGAATGCGATGCGATTTGAGAGATGCGATGCAATGTGCGATTGGATGAGTGACACGAGCGATGCAATCCACGATGCAAAGCGTGGTGCGATGGGTGGGGCGATGCGTGATGCGAGAGTGTGCGATGCCCATCGACCTGCGTGCTAACATAATGTCAATAATTTTTCCTCTTGTCTCTCTGATGGTCCTTTGGGTCAAGTATGATTGGAGGTTCTTGTAATTTCTTCCAACTCCATCCCTCCTCCCTCCCTCCTTCCCTCCTCCCTCCCTCCCTCCCTCCCTCCCTGCCTGCCTCCCTGCCTCCCGCCCTCCATCCCTCGCCCTCTCTCTCAAATCGTTCCTTCCTTTCACGCCCTACTGCAGCTGGGCTGCTTCCTGCTGGGCATGCTGGGGGTGGTGTTCCTGCCAGCCCTGCTCAAGCACTCGCGGCACCTGGCAATCGGGTTGGTGGTGGGGCTGTGTGGCGGCATCTCCAGCTTCGCCACGTGGAACCAGCGCATGCTCGCCATCGCGACTGCCGGCCCCTGGGTCCGCGCCCTCTTCGGCTACTTCGCAGGTCAGCCCACGCTTCTTCACCTTGTTAAATTGGTCCCCAAGGATTTTGAAATTCTGTCTCTCAAGCCCCATGACCCGCATTTTCTCTGGGAGTCGGACTCTTTGCTCTTGCTTGCCACATGGGGCACTAACCCCCCGTCGCCATTGCCTTTAGTGGGTCTTGGTTCTGGTATGGGGAATGTTGAGCTGCTTTGGTTTGCATGAGAGACAGCTACTTCATGCCTTTACTCGCGCCGGCACATCGTCACTTCCTCGCGTGAAGCAACCTACCTCAGCCACAGAAGAAACAACCGGTTTGTAAAGCCGATAAATTCCACCTCCCTCCCCCTCCGTTGTTCCCGTGCTGCTACTTCCATCCACCAGGTTCGGTGCTGCCCATCATATCCCTTGTCGTGGGGGCAGACACCGCCCACAACCTCCGCTCTCTCCACTCCTACCTCTCCCACCGCACCCCTTCCCCACACTCCACCCCCTCCCCTTCTCTCCTTCCAACCACCACTCCCACACTCCCTCCCTCCTCTTCTCCAAACCCCCCTTCGCCCTCACATCCCCCCTCCCTCTCGCACCCCCCCTCCCCCATTCTCTCCCCACCATCACCCGCTCGCCGCCACCTCATCCCCATGCTGCTGTGTGCACTTGTCCACTGGGCGGCGGCCATCACCGGCGCCGTGCTCGCCGCCGCACACAGCGCCAGCCTGCAGGCCTTCTGCCTGGCCTGCGCGCTCGCCCCCCTGGGCACATGCCTGCGCTGGTCCCTGCTGCCCCTCAACGGGGCTGGCCTCGGGCTGTGGTTCCACGGGGCCACTGGGAGGGGGAAGGGAGCGAGTGAAGCGGCTCGCAGTGGGGTTGGAGGGAAGAGGAAGTGGGAGGAGGGTGCGGGTGCAGCTGCATGGATGCCGTGGGGGACTCTTACAGTTAACGTGGGGGCTGCTGCTTTGGAAGCTGCAATTTCAGTGGTGTATGTCGCGGTATGTACCTACCATGCTTGCTTCTCTTGATTTGAACCCTGCACTGCGATCTGGATTGGTACACTTGGTCCATGTGGTGTCAGACCTCCTCCGCGTTATCTTCACACTCATTTATGTCATGTCACAATTGCAGGCCAAGTCACATACTTCGCAAGTGATTGTGGGAGGAGTGCAGCTGGGGTTCCTCACAGGGCTCAGCACAGTATCTATGTTCTCCCTCGAGATTTTCCACTTCCACTATACCCTTGGGTCTCCGTGGCGCTCGTATGTGTACCTTCTCAGTACCATTTTGCCGTCGTCTTTTATCGGCGTCTTGGTTTACTCTGTCCCTGTCTGGGTTATGAGGTGGGATTCACTCTACGACCACGTATAGCCGCTGAGATGCTATGGCATCTGTTTTTCATTCATGTGTTGTTGCTGCTAATTATTGTTAATTTCTCTCCCCAAAACACTTCAATCGGTAAGGGAGATGAGGTTCTGCTTCTTACCGCGCCTGTTGGAAGAAGGGGAATACACTAGCTTGTATACGGTATGTCTTCCGTCAGGGAGTGGTGTTGATACGAGGGCTTGTATCGGCAAACGGATGTCTCCCTGCAGAGCATGGCAGCTGTTGCTGAGCTGTGGTTGGGACCGCATCTTCCGCCGTCGACAGCCGTACGGATGTGCTTCGCAGCTTCCAATAATTATCCCGGCATGAGAAGCGCATCACACGGCCATCCCCCTGCTTGACAAATAAACTAATCCTCCCTGAGTTGTGCTTGGGTTGGGATCGCGCGCCGTCATGAGCAGCACACATGCTGCTGTGCAGCCTCCAATAACCTCTCCGCATAGGTAACATGCAATTTCCTGGAACAATCAATTGCTTGCCCCCCGGCGCCTCGATAATTGTGGACGTCGAGCTGAAGCCGCCGCTGCTCCCCGCCGCATCGCGCGTTACTAGTATGGCGTGTATAAAAATCTGAAATTCCTTCATTCACACCATCTCACACACTCAAAGCACCGAATTCGCTTGCTGAGATTCGTACACCCTCCTGCCTGCTCACTTCAGTCTTACCAGTACTGCCTGCTCGCAACCAAGTTCCACCCTGAGCAATCTCCTCGCGCTTCAAATGGCTCTTCGCGTTTTCGCAGCCCTCGCGACGCTCGTCGCAGCGCTCGCCGCCCTTGCTCCCGCTAGCGCCACCACGTACCGCTCCACGTTCAGCGACGGGATTAACTCCGGCGGCGGCGCGTGCAACTACGAGGGCAACTTCCGCGAGTCGGAATATTTCTACAAGGGGCTGACCGCGTACCTGCCCCAAAATAAGTACGACGGCGGCAAGGGCTGCGGCACGTGCTACGAGATCGAGTGCAAGAGCCACAAGAGCTGCCGAAGCGGCAGCGTGATCGTGCGCGCGACCGGCCGGCACGGAGACGACCAATTCCTCCTCGCCTCCACCGCGTGGGACAAAATCGTCCGCGGCCGCGACGCGGGGAACGTGGAGATTAAGTTCCGCAGCGTCGACTGCCCGAAGAACGCCGACATCGGAGTGAAGATCATGTCTGGGACGAACCAATACTGGTTCGCGGTCCAGATTCTGGGCGCCGCGAAAGCCGGCGGCGTGGAGGGAGTGGAGCTATCGAAGGACGGCAAGAAGTGGAGCAAGATGAAGCGGCTCGCGGAGAGCGCCACGTGGGCCTTGGATCCCGCGAAGGAGATCGTGGATGCGGGGAAGAAGGTGAGTGTGCGCGTCACGGCGGTGGGCGGCGCGCGCGTGGAGCTGAAGGACGTCATTCCCGAGAAGTGGACCGTTGGGAACACATACAAGAGCAGCACCAACTTCTAGCTACTCCCGGACGCACTTATAGCGGTCCACGAATAAAGCGCCTTTGAATCTTGAAGAACGAACAAATAGTTCCAAGTGACGGTCGCAACTTAGTTGCGGTCAACATCGCTTATATCTGGCACCATGGCTCGCGGAATAATAGGCGCTTCTGATATATATTTCTCCGTATGATGTAGATGCTCCGGCAACTTATTATAGGCTCGTATGCCCATTTCTGCTTGGCGAATGAATAAAATGCAGCGATTGACAAATACCCAATACATAAACCAGGATGGATACACCGACTTGGCCATCTGTCATGCATTGCATAGCAACATAGCCATCTGTTTCACAGAAGTTGTCCCAGGTGGAGCATGCCTTATTGGATTGTGGAGGGCACGACAGCACGCGGAGGCTGGGCAGAACGGGGGCAAGGCGGGGAGAGGGACAGCGAGAGTGAAAGCGACGAGGGCACTGGTGGATCCTCCGCAGAGCCCGAGCAGGACATGTGGTTGTTGCTACCCGTGCTCCCAGGGACCCATCTCCTTGACTTTCGTTGCTCTGATTCCCCAGCTGGAGCGGCTGTGAAAGCGCCTCTCATGCCCATCTTCCCTTGCTGTACAGCGCCAAGTAAGGCTCCCTTGGCTGAGGCAGCCGGTGCTGCAACATGCGATCTCGTTGCACGTTCCGTGCTGGCTGTAGTAGCAGCAGCAGAGGCAGGAGCAGCAGATGCAGGCGTAGCAGCAGGAGTAGATGCCGAGGGAACAGGGGACATGGCGGGAGGCCGGCCAGCAAGGAAGGCGGCTCGGATGGATGGACGGTGGTGAATGGGGTCGGTGGGGGCGGAGCCAGAGGGAAGGGTGTCATTGGGAGTAGAGTTAGCGGGCTGGCCAGGCACAGGCAGCATGGGGCGAGGCCGAACCACCTGTGCCGAGCCTCCGCCGCTGCCTGCCTTGGACAAACCAAGCCAAGAGCGTTGGTTTGGACTGTGGGTGAGGCTGTAGCTCAGCTGTGGCATTGGTTGAGTGCGTGAGGAGGAGGTAGAGAGGGCTGTGGCACCTGGATGCGCTTTGGAGGATGGGGCACTGGAGGCTTGGCAATCCAGCGGCTGGGATTGAAGGAATGCAGAATTGGGAGTAAAGGGGTTTGAGGGAGGAGGTGCGGGGTGGGATGGAGAGGGTGGAGGGCGCATGGGGGCAGGTGCATGCGCAGCAGCAGCCGTAGCAGGCAGGGCAGTGGCAGTAGTAGCAGCAGAGACGACAGCACTAGCAGGGGCAGCAGCAAAGGAATCAGTGGGAGGAGCAGCAGGGGGAGGAGCAAGTGGGGTAGGCACATCAGCACTGCAGGTCCTGCTGCTGCCACGTGTCGCCACATCAGCATTGATACTACTGCTGCTGCCACGTGGCACAAGAGGTTGTTTCACTCTCTGTGCCACAGATGTCATCCTGCTCTCTTGTGCTCCAGCTGCTCTGCTGGCTGATTTCGTTCCATTGGCTACTGGTGCTGACCTGGCTAAAGGTGCTGACCTGGCTACAGTCCCATTCAAAGGTTTGACTAGTGCTGCAACAGATGGCGCACCTATAGCACCCCCTGCTACACCGCTCCCTGCTACACCGCTCCCTGCTACACCGCTCCCTGCTACACCGCTCCCTGCTACACCGCTCCCTGCTACACCGCTCCCTGCTACACCGCTCCCTGCTATAGCACCCCCTGCTACACCGCTCCCTGCTAGACCGCTCCCTGCTATAGCACCCCCTGCTACACCGCTCCCTGCTACACCGCTCCCTGCTACACCGCTCCCTGCTACACCGCTCCCTGCTACACCGCTCCCTGCTACACCGCTCCCTGCTACACCGCTCCCTGCTACACCGCTCCCTGCTACACCGCTCCCTGCTACACCGCTCCCTGCTACACCGCTCCCTGCTACACCGCTCCCTGCTACACCGCTCCCTGCTACACCGCTCCCTGCTACACCGCGCCCTGCTACACCGCTCCCTGCTACACCGCTCCCTGCTACAACGCTCCCTGCTACACCGCTCCCTGCTACACCGCTCCCTGCTACAACGCTCCCTGCTACAACGCTCCCTGCTACAACGCTCCCTGCTACAGCATTCCCCAACGCAGCACCCTTATGCAACGCGGGGCATGGGGTAGCAGGAGAAGCGTTGGTGTGGTGAGGAGCAGTGGGATGAGGGGCAGGAGTGGTGGCAGTGGCTGTAATACTGGCGGGAGTGGGAGGAGCAGCAGCAGGAACAGTGGTAGTATTGGCAGCAGCAGGAATGGTGGTAGTATTAACAGCAGCAGGCATGGCAGCAGGCATGGGAGCAGGCATAGCAGCAGGCATGGCAGCAGGCATGGTAGAGGGCGAGGGGGAGAGGTGAAAGAACGCAGAGTACGGCATAAAGGAGGGGGCAGCAGGGGTAGCATCGGCAGCAGCAGCGGTGGCAGGGGAGGGTGAGAGGGAGGGCGAGTTGGAAAGCGAGGGAGATTGCGAGGGGGATTGCGAGGGGGATTGCGAGGGGCAGAGCTGAATGATGCGGCCATCAGGCAGCATCACCGGCGCCAGGCTCCTTGATGGCTTCCCTGCCCCTCCTCCCGCCCCCCCTGCGCGCCCTCCCCCTCCTTCTCCCATCGCACCTGCTCCTCCTCCCATCCCCCCCAGGCCCCGGGTGGGCGGCAACCCAAAAACGCCCCTCCGCCTGCGCCTCCTGCGACGCGGGAAGGGAGGCGCTGCGGAATCAGCAGCAGCTGGAGAAGCTGTGGCAGCAGCAGGGTCAGCAGTAGCAGTAGCTGGGGCTGCAGCAGTTGCAGCGGCAGGGGAGGAAGAGGAGTGAGGAGCAGGTGAGGGCAGAGCAGCAGGTGAGGGGTGAGGAGAGGGAGAGGTAGTGGTGGCAGGCAGAGGCAGGGGCATGAATGAAGGGGGCGCACTGGAAGGAGGTTGCAAGGGTGGTTGTGGTGATTGTGATGGTTGTGATGGCTGTGATGGTTGTGCTGGTTGTGGTGGGGATGGCAAGTGGGGTCTGGGCCAGGGTGTGGGTTTGAGGGGTGGAGTGGAGCGAGGGGCAGTGGATGGGGAGAGAGAAGGCGTGGAGTGAGGGAAAGAGAAAGGGGTGGTTGGGAGGAAGGCGGTGGGAGGGGCGGGTTTGGATGGGGTATGGAAGGCAGACCGGGGCAGGGGGAGTGTAGGATGGGGGTGCGTGGGGAAGGAAGGGGTGGGACGTAAGGGGGAGTGAGAAGATGCAGATGGGGGAATGGTGGAGTGAGGGGAGTGAGAGTAGGTGAGAGGTTGGAAGGGCCTGGTTGCAGTGGGGGATTGTGACCGGAGGGGGAGAGGAAGAGGGGGGAAGTTGCGGAAGCGGGGGAGAGGAGGGATGGGGAGGAAGGCGAGGGGGTCCGTGCTGGCAGCAGCAGGTGCAGGAGGAGGCGGGGCAGAGGTAGGGGGAGGAGCAGCAGAGGGAGGGGGAGCAGGAGGTGCAGCAGAAGGAGGGGGAGCAGGAAGAGCAGCAGGAGGAGGAGCAGGACGGACAGAGGCGGGGGGGGCAGCAGGGGCAGGAGCAGCAGAAGGAGGAGCAACAGGAGCAGCAGCAGGAGCAGCAGAAGAAGCAGCAGAAGGAGCAGCAGCAGCAGCAACAGCAGCTGAAGGGACAGCAGCAGCAGGAGCAGCAGAAGGAGCAGCAGCAGGAGAAGCAGCAGGAGCAGCAGCAGGAGCAGCAGCAGAAGGAGGAGAAGCAGCAGCAGCAGCAACAGCAGCAGAAGGGGCAGCAGCAGCAGGAGCAGCAGAAGGAGCAGCAGTAGGAGCAGCAGCAGGAGAAGCAGCAGGAGCAGCAGCAGGAGCAGCAGCAGGAGGAGGAGGAGCAGCAGCAGCAGCAGGAGCAGGGATGGTGACAGCAGGTGCCGTGGAGGGGCCTGTGCTATGCTGCAACGCATCTGCCCACTCACCCGCGTCTAATAGCCCTGCCCTTCCTTCCCCACCTGTGCTGTGAGCAGCACAGGTCCTTGTGAGCGCATCACCTGCCTTGGATGCACCTGCCTTGGATGCACCTGCCTTGGATGCACCTGCCTTGGATGCACCTCCACATGCACTCACAGCCTCCCTCGGTGCTGCTGCATCCAGTGGGAAGGCAGCAGGTGCCGCAGTGGGCGCTGGCACAGCTACACCTGGGGCTTCGCTGCTTGCTCTACACCCCCCTCCTGCTACTGCTTTTGCTGCGACGCCTGCTGTTGTTGCTGCTGCTACTGTTACTGCTGCTGCTGCTGCTTCTGCTGTTCCTGCTGCCGCTGCTGGTGGCCTTTCTGGTGCTTCAGAAGAACCTGAAGCGGCTTCTGCTGCTCCGCATGTGTCTGCAGCAGCTGCTGGCAGCGGGGGTGGTGTATGCCCCCCACCTCCTCCACTGCCCGTCGGCTGACCTCTTGCTCCTCTGCTCGCTGCCCGCTTCTCGTGTGCCTGAGCCGTCACCCCTCCGGTTCTGTTGCCCGCTGATCTGCTGTCCGCTGATCTGCTGTCCGCTGCTGCTGCAGCAGCAGGGGGAGATACACGAGCTCTTTCCCCCTCACGAATCACTGGTGTGCGGGCCACAGGCCCAGCACGAACCACTGCTGCTGCTGCTGCTACTGCTGCTGCTGCTGCTGCTGATGGCACTGCTGCTGCTGCTGCTGATGGCACTGCTGCTGACGCTGGTGGTGGTGGTGGTGGTGGTGCTGCTGCTGCTGATGCCACAGTTGCTGCCACTGGCAGTAGTAGTGGTGGTGGCACTAGTGCTGCTGCAGGCACGTCCATTGCTGCAGCTGTGGGCAGGGCGCGCATTGGCTGTGCAGGGACAGAGGTGGTAGAAAGCGGGGGAGAGAGGGCTGCGAGCAGTGCAGAGGGAGCAAGGCCAGGACCAGCCAGAAGAGGTGCATCTGAGGGAGGGGCTGACTGCGATGGGCGAGTGGAAGGTTCACCTGGGGGAGGTGGATTTGAGTTGGTAGGAGAGAGGAGAACAGGAAGAAGAGGAGGTGATGGTAGTGGTGATGGTAGTGGTGGTGGTGAGGTGGAAGGGGGAGGGAGTTGAGCAGGGAGGGGCTGTGACGAGAGAGGTTGCGAGGAGAGAAAGGCTGCCCGGATGAAGATGGTGGGGGGCGGATCGTCTGAGGCAGATGCGGGAGGAGTGGGAGGGAGAGGTGAGGGAGGGGGAGGTAAGGGAGGGGGAGGTGAGGGAGGTTGAGGTGGAGGAGGAGAGTGTGGTGGGGATGGAGCGGGATGGGAGGGCAGAGAAGACGCAGAGGAGGGAGGGGATGGTGGGCAGGGGCAGGAGGAAAGAGGTGATGTAGGCGATGGTGAGAGGGAAGCACGGGAGGGAAGTGATGGAGGGCGGTGGGCAATGGGAGAGAGGCATGCCTGATGGGCGGTCGACCCTGCTGCACCCGCTGCTGCATCAGCAGAAGCAGCATTAGCAGCACCTGTGCCAGCTTCAGGAGCATTGGAATAAGCTTTCGCATTAGCAGTGATTGCAGAAGCATCAACAGTAGCATCAGCATCAGCACCAGCAGCAGCAATAGCAACAGAAGCAGCAATACTGGTAGCAGCAGCAGCAGCATCATTATTATCAGCAGCATCATCAGCATCTGCATCAGCATCACTGTCAGCAGCACCAGAAACAGCAGCAACAGCAAAAGGAGAAGCCCCAGTATCATGATGAGCAGCAGCGTGAGCGTGACAAGAGGCGGCATGTGCTGACCGGCCTCCCTGTGCCCCCTGCCCCGTGCCCTCACCCTCACACCCACCACCCCTATCATCTAAATGCTTACTGCTGTCAACATGGTTACCAGCAGCACAACTATTATCAGCACAACCAGCAGCAGCACAGGCAGCACCACCACCAACACGTGGTTGTGTGGACAAAACTTCGCTATCAACAAGACAAACTGTCTCTGACTCAGCACGCGAGGCATCTGACTCAGCACGCAAGGCATCCGACTCAGCACACAGTGCATCTGACTCAGCAGCGGCGGCAGCAGCAGCAGCTAGCAGGTCAACAGCAGAAGGGTGGTGGTGATGGTGGTGGTGGTGGTCAATGCCTCCACCCACTGGGGCTGCTGCTGCCACCGATGCTGCTGCTGCCTTTGCTGCTGCTGCTGTTGCTTGTGCTGCTCCTGCTGCTCCTGCTTCACCTGCTGTAGCTTCTGCTACTGCTGCTGCTACCTCTGCTGCTCCTTCTGCTTCTGTTGCTTGTGCCGCTGCTGTTGTTTCAAAACGTGCTGCTGTTGCTGGTTCCTCTCTCACTGCTCTTGCCACCTCCAACCGTCCCTCTGCTCCCTCTGATGCCTCTGATGCCTCTGATGCCTCTGATGCCTCTGATGCCTCTGCTGCCTCTGATGCCTCTGATGCCTCTGCTGCCTCTGCTGCCTCTGCTCCTTCTGCTGTCTCTGCTCCCTCTGCTGTTACGCTGCTGTACTCAGCTGTAGCAGCACACGCTTCCTCTTCCCCTATTACACTGTCTCTTGCTGCCCTCCCTCCTCCCACGGGTGCTGCTGCCTCGGGCAATGCAGTCACCTTGGCTACAGTCACATTGGCTACAGTCACATTGGACAGAGTCACAGCAGGCGCCATGAGCCCAGCCCCACTCGTCCCCATCACAACTTCCCGCAGCAGCAGCTCGCGAAACTGAACAAACGGCTGCTGCTGCTGTGAATGCTGCTGCTGCTGCTGCATTAGCTGCTGCTGTGGCTCCCCTCCTCCCGCGTCTGCTTCCACCTCGTTCTCAGCCCCTCCTTGCTCCTCCTGCACCGCCTCCTGTTCTCTCTGCCCCTCTCTTCCTGCACCCTCAGAGATTGGCTGCAAGGGCCTTGCTTGTACCACTGCTGGCTGTGGCACTGTCGGTTGCAGCAGGGACCATCTCAGAAGCATGCTAGCCCCTCCTATAGCCCCTTTCTCACCCTCCGCCACAGATGCTCCTCTTCCGCTCACCTCTTCTCCACTCACCTCTCTTTCCCTCACCTCTCCCCCACCACATACACTTTCCCCGGATGCCACCTCCCCATTGGCCGGTCTTGGCCCTTCCATCCTCCCTCCTTCTGAAGCTCGCTGCGTCAGCATCAGGTGCGGCTGACTCAGCACCGATCCCACATTCGCTACAGTGTCAGGGCGGGCAGGTGGCACCTGGGGAGGGCGCGACTGCAAGGCCGGCTGCAGCAGATGCAGGCAGTTGGGAAAGAGCTGTTGGAATGCCACGTGGCATGCTGCAGCGCCTTTTCTGCTGCCACCTGTGCTGCCACCTGTGCCGCCACTTGTGCCGCCACCTATGCTGCTGCTTCTGTTCCTGTGTGCTGCGATTTCATCTGGTGTGGGATCATCTGGTGTGGTGGTAGTATTTGGTATGATGACAGCTGACGTGGCACCACTGACCGCCACATCAGCTCTTGTGTCGCCACGTGGGCCATGCTGCCATGCTGCCTGCTCCCTGGCATGAACCTCCTCACACCATTTGCCTGCATTCTGCTCTCCTCCTGCTTCCTCATGCTCCTGCCCTCTGCTCCTCCCCATACTCGCCACCCCCTCGCCCTTCTCGCCCCCTCTCTCGTCACCTCCATGCCCTTCACCTGAGAACCGACCAACCCCCTCCAGTTGCCTCTGCTCCTCCTCCCTAATCTCCTCATTCACCCGCCTCTGTTCCTCCTGCAACTCATGCTCTCTTTGCACTTCTTGTTCTCTCTGCCTGTCTTGCTCTCTTTGCTCCTCTTGCTCTCTTTGCACTGCTTGCTCTCTCTGCAATTCTCGCTCTCTCTGCAATTCTTGCTCTCTCTGCAATTCTCGCTCTCTCTGCAATTCTTGCTCTCTCTGCAATTCTCGCTCTCTCTGCAGCAACTGTTGACTCTCCATCCACTCCCTTTCTCTCTCCATCTGCTCTTCTCTCTGCATTTTCTCCTCCTGCTCTCGTTGCTGCTGCCTAAGCGCGAGGCGGCGGGCAGCAAGAGCATCGGAGAAGAGGCGGCGCAGCTGTGTGGGGTCGCGGTGGGGCATCACAGCGCGGCTCATGGCGTGCCAGTCCAGCTTCCATGCGTTCAGTGCCTGGGCGAATGGGGTGCATGGGATCGGTATGGTGCATGGGGTGCATGGGAATGGGGGGGATGGAGATGGGGGGGATATGAGGAATGGGGATGGGGTGGATGGGCATGGGGATAAACGCAAGAGGCATGAGAGGTGGAAAGAGAGGCAGGGGGGCATCACAGCCAGGTTTCTCCGACGAGAGTTTGAGGAGAAGAGTGGGTGCATGGAGGTGCATGGAGGGTGCATGGAGGGTGCATGGAGTGTGCATGGAGGGTGCATGGAGGGTGCATGGAGTGTGCATGGAGGGTGCATGGAGGGTGCATGGAGTGTGCATGGAGGGTGCATGGAGGGTGCATGGAGTGTGCATGGAGTGTGCATGGAGGGTGCATGGAGGGTGCATGGAGTGTGCATGGAGGGCATGTGAGAGGCATCCCATCCCATCCCATCCCATCCCATCCCATCCCATCCCATCCCATGCCAATGCTGGCATGGCAATCCATCCGTTTCCATGTGACACCAATGGGGGTGTGACGATGGTGTTATGATGGAGTCACGTTGCACTATGCCCACACACCGTTTGTATTTGGTCGACCTCGTGGTCAGTCAGGGGAGCAGTCTTGCGCCGCCACACTTGCTGCACGATGGGCGCACACGCCACACAGAACAGCACAGAAGCGGACACAGATGGACACAGATGGACACAGATGGACACAGATGGACACAGATGGAGGGGAGCTTGCTGGAGAATGGGTGGACCGTGAATGCAAGTCGAGGCACAAAGATGGGCACAGGCGCAAACGAACTGCCTGACTGCTGTGTGGGCGCCTTCACGATGATCCATCTACCACACTCTTCATCTGCATGATGCAACTTGGCTGCTTGCCCTGCCTGCCTCTCTGCCTACCTCGCTGGACCTCAAAACGCATGTGCATTCACTTCTCAGCCCTGTGTGCGCGTGCATGTGCGTGTGCATGTGCGTGTGCATGTGCGTGTGCATGTGCGTGTGCATGTGCGTGTGCATGTGCGTGTGCATGTGCGTGTGCATGTGCGTGTGCAGGTGCGTGTGCATGTGCGTGTGCATGTGCGTGTGCATGTGCGTGTGCGTGTGCATGTGCATGTGCGTGTGCGTGTGCATGTGTATGTGCATGTGTATGTGCATGTGCATGTGCATGTGCATGTGTATGTGTATGTGCATGTGTATGTGCATGTGTATGTGCATGTGTATGTGCATGTGTATGTGCATGTGTATGTGTATGTGCATGTGCATGTGTATGTGCATGCATGCGCACCTTAATGGGGTTGTCAGGCACGCGTGAGGAGCACCGGTTCTTCCACCGGATGGAGATCTGACGGCCAGGATTGGATGGGGAGGGGGGGCAACACGGGCCACCGCAGGCGCAGGCAACAAGGCGTATGGACGGGAGAGCGAGAGTGAGAAGGAATGGATACAGAAGCAGAGGTACGAGCAGGGGCATGAACAGGCATGTACGTTGTGCATGCACTCACCTCACCTCGCCACTCTGACGGCTCCCTGGCTCACCAAACCAGCTCGTCAAAATGTGGCGTCTGTGTATGGTGAACTCTTGAGTCACACGACCCACCACCCACCACCCACCACCCACCGCCCACCGCCCACCGCCCACCACCCACCACCCACCGCTCACAAGCAATGGCCCACAGCCCCCCCCCCCAGCCGTCATGGCCCATGATCCACGGCCCATGATCCACGGCCCATGATCCACGGCCCATGATCCACGGCCCATGATCCACGGCCCATGATCCACGGCCCACCTGGTGCGGAGTCTTGCCGGGCAGGAAGCGGCGGTGAATGGCCTCCCAGTCCGTGCCCAGATGCTCCACGCCCATCGCCAGCAGGCTGGCACGGAGGGGCACGGGGACGGGCGGGGAGAGAGTGAGGGGCAGAGGGGAGGAATGGTCGCTGCTGCAATGGCCTCCCAGTCTGTTCCTAGCTCCTCCACGCCCATGGGCAGCAAGCTGGTATGGAGGGCGCCGGATGGGCGGGAGGCGAGGGTGTGACGGGCATAGGGAGGATTGGATGCTGCTGAGACGCTAGCCCCATGGCTTGCCAGATGTATCCATGTATCCATGTATGTATGTATGCATGCACCTGTTGTAGGCACATGGCGGTGTGCCACATGAGCCCAAAGAAGCACCCATACTGAACCCACACATTCAAAGACCTACATCCAGCCATATATGTATACATTCATGCGTCCATGCCCCCACCCACCCACGCACCCACCCTGCCACGCACCCACCCACCCACGCACCAGTCCTCAGCGGGGGAGAAGATGGTGCGGTGCAGCAGGGGCGGGCGCACCACCGGGAAGAGCGACGCATCAAACACGCCTGCCAGCGGCTGCAGTGCTGCCGCCACCTCGCCTGGCACCCGCACCACCTCGCCCACCCCCGCCCTCCGCTCCTCCTCCTCCTCTACCTCCCTCCACACCGCCGTTTCCTCCACCTCCTCCCGTCCGCCTTCCTCTTCTTCATCTTCCCCTTCCTTCTCGTCCTGCCCTCCTCGCCCCTGCTCGCCCTCCTTCTCCACTCCGCGCCCACAAGCAACGCTCTGGGAGGGTTGCAAGCGAGGGGCCTTGTGGGGAGAGGCAAGGCGGGAGGGGGCGAAGGGTGGGAGGGCGGGAGGCAGTGCCACGGGGAACATGGGCACCCACCTGCGCTTCCTCTTCCTCTTACTCCCTCCCACCCGCTGCTGCTGCTGCTGCTGCTGCTGCTGCTGCTGCTGCTGCTGCTGCTGCTGCTGCTGCTGCTGCTGCTGCTGCTGCTGCTGCTGCTGCTGCTGCTGCTGCTGCTGCTGCTGCTGCTGCTGCTGCTGCTGCTGCTGCTGCTGCTGCTGCTGCTGTTGCTGCTCCTGTTGCTCCTGTTGCTGCTGTTGCTGATGAGGATCATCAACACGACACTCTTTCAAACATTGATGTTGTTCCTGCTGCTGTATCTGCTGCTGCTGCCGTGTCTGCTCGTTCTGTTGTTTCTCGTCCTGCCCTTCCTGCTGCTGCTCCTGCTGCTGCGATGTCTGCACGTCCTGCTGCAAATCGGCCACGTCTCTCAGGGGAAGCTCTCGACTACCCTTGTCATCTCGCTGCCGCTGCACAGCACCATCACTATCACCACCCACTGCATCTCGCTGACGCCGCACCTCCCTCTCGCCATCCTCTAATTCCACCCTTTCTGTCCTCTCCCCATCTCCCCCCTCCACCCTCTCGTTTGACATGCCCTGTGCCTCCATCCACTCCCGCACCTCTCTCTCCTTCCCCACCTCCCTCCCCTCCCCCACCCCTTTCAACTCTTTCCCACCACTCTCACCTCTTCCCCGTCCTTCACTCCTTTCCATCGGCTCTGCTCCACCATTCCTACCATTTCCCACGTCACCCCCACTCCCCCCTCTCCTCAACAGCTCCTCTACAACTCCTTCCCCGAGTGTCTCCTCTCCCCCATCCCCTCCTCCTTCACCACCGCTTCTTTCAACTTGCCCCCCACGACACGCCCTGCGCCCCTCACTCCCTCGTCTGTCGGATGCAAGTACGTGTGGACTGGCACGGAGTGCTGCTGGAGCAGATCGGATAGCAGCATCACTGCCTGCCATCACCCTTTCTGATCGGATAGCAGCATCACTGCCTGCCATCACCCTTTCTGATCGGATAGCAGCATCACTGCCTGCCATCACCCTTTCTGATCGGATAGCAGCATCACTGCCTGCCATCACCCTTTCTGATCGGATAGCAGCATCACTGCCTGCCATCACCCTTTCTGATCGGATAGCAGCATCACTGCCTGCCATCACCCTTTCTGATCGGATAGCAGCATCACTGCCTGCCATCACCCTTTCTGATCGGATAGCAGCATCACTGCCTGCCATCACCCTTTCTGATTCCTCCACCTGTGTTCTTTCTGCTGCTGCTGCTTCTGCTGCTGCTGTCGCTTCTGGTGCCTCGACAGTTGTTACTCTGTTTGCTGATAATAAGGTTGACTGTGCTACTGGTGCAGCTGGTGTTGGTGGTGCTTCTGCTGGTGCTGCTGCTGCCACTGTTGCTGCAGGGGGATGCGTATCAGCAGCCACAGCAGCAGCACATGTCGTCGGCGGGTCCACTGATTGCTCCTGGAGAACTGCAAGGGAGAGGCACACGAGGCAGACACGAGGGTCAGGCACAGAGAGCACCAAAAGTGCAAAGTAAGCACAGCACAAGCTGCCTTCCACACACTACTAACGCTCCCGGCCACAGCCGTGTGCCCTTGTTTCGATACCTTTGTCGATGGCGAGCAGGAACGAAGGAAGAAGAGCCAGGCTGGGGATCGAATCTGCCAGCCGCGCTGCTGGCCTTGCTGCTCCGTGGCTGCTTGCAGCAGTGGCAGTGGCAGTGGCAGTGGCAGTGGCAGTGGCAGTGGCAGCAGCAGCAGTGGCGGTAGCAGTGGGAGCTATGGCAGCGGCAGAGCCATGAGCTTCCAGGCAGGTCACAGAAGATGAGAGAGAAGAGCGAGGAGCGGGAGGGATGGGTGGAGAGCACCAAGGCTGCAAGGGAGGCGAGGGTGATGCCTCAACCCCTGGAGCATCAGCAGCTAATACATTGTTCGACACTCCTCTCGCATCTCCTGACCGAATGCCACCTACCCCAGCAATACCACCTTCCCCAGTAGCACCTCCCTCCCACTGCGCCAGCTGAGCCAGCAAGCCCCTGAGCACCGTTGCCACCTGGCAGCGAGAGGGGTCCAGCACACACGCCGCGTACACCTGCACTGCCAGCTGCACGTGACACGCCAGCAGCGCCGCCAGCTGGGCGCGCTGATGTGGCGCGAACGCGGGGGGGATGGGGACAGGAGCGAGGCATGCAACGGGGCGAATATGGAAGGGGTATGTGCCGTGTGCCGGCAGGGGGAGTGGTACGAACGGGCGCGCGGTGGGGAGCGGGGCGATGGGGAGTAGGCGAGGGGGGGGCACTGGTGAGGCAGCAGGAGCAGCAGCAGCCGCAGTCACAGCTGCAGGAGCAGCAGGAGCAACAGCAGCAGCTGCTTTCCTAGTGTGTGCGGCAGTAGTAGCAGCGCCCTCTGACCCCACACCACCACCAGCAGCAGCAGCGCCAGCAGCAGTTCTGCCTGCGCGGCCCTTCCTGCCCGCCGCCCTGGACCCTGCTGCTGCTGCTGCTGCTGCTGCCGCGGATCCCCTCCGCCTGCCCTGCCCTGCGCTGCCCGCCCCCCCACTAACCCCCCCAGGGCTGCCTGATGGGGGTGAAAAGGTCGATGCACCATGCGCAGCACCATCAGCACCATCCGAGCCATGAGCAGAAGAAACCAAGGCATGTGGATCAGCAGCGGCGGGAGACACACCCTCATTGCCGCCTCCTGCTTCTGAACTGTCGCGGCCACCTCTGCACGCTGCCGTCTCTTCCCTCGCCCCTCGTCCATCCCCCATCACCCCACCCCCTCCTTTCACTGCCTCGCCTCGTCCCTTCTTAGCCTTGCGTCTCCTCTTGGATCCTCCCGCCTCCACCTCCCCCTCCTCCTCCCCCTCTCCATTCCTGCCCTTCCTCGCTGCCTCCCTCCCCTTGCCTCTCCTCCTCGAGACCCCAGCAGTGGTCCGTTTTGACCTCCGCACCCCCATTCCCACTCCCACCCCCTCGCTGTGCATTTCCACCGCCCCTCCCTTTCCCCGCTCGCCCACACCCTGGACAGGTGGCAGCTGCTCATTGGCTGGCTCGTGCGCGTTACTCTCAGGAACAGCAGGAGCAGCGGAGGGCGGCTGGTGGAGGCGAGAGGCAGCGCCCTCGTGCCCGTCTGCCGCTGCTTCATGCGCCGCCTCCTCTCCCTCCCCTCCTTCCCTTACCTCCCTCCCCTCCCCCTCCTGCAAGCCCTCCATCTCTCCACCCCACGCCCCCCAATAGCCCCCCTTCCCCTCCCCACGGCTGCATTTACGCCTCTTACTCCTCCCCTTCCCCTCTCCCTCGCTCCCCCCCTCCTCCTCGCCCTTCTCCTCCTCTGCCCTCGCGGCTGCCTCAGCAGCTGCCTCTGCATCCGTCTGAGCCTGCATCTCCGCTATAAGCTCATCCTCCAGCCCCGCTAGAAGCCCTCCATCCAGATCATCCTCGTCCACAACGAAGTCCTGCAGATCCAGCAGCTCATCCTCACCGTCCATTAGCAGATCATCGCCCTCCAGCAGCAGCAGATCGTCGATATTGAAGTCCATATCCTCCTCGTCCTCTTCATCCTCCCCCTCCCCTTTGTCCTCCCCTTCGTCATCCCCCTCTTCCTCCCCCGCTCCCTCCCCTCCCCCCCCCCCCCCTCATCCTGCACCCCGTTCTCCTCTCCTCCATCAACAGCATCCCCTGTGTTATCCCCCCCTCCCATGCTTGCCCCTGCTGCTCCTCCAGTCCTCTCCTCATCCCCTTCCCCCTCCTCTTCTACCTCCTCCTCTCCACCCTCCCTTCTTCCCTCATACCCCCTCTCTTCCCCCTCCTCTCCTTCCCTCTCCCCCTCCCCCTCCCCTTCCCCCTCCCCCTCCTCCCCCTCGTGGTCACTAGCGCAAGGCGAGTCGGGGAACAGCACGGCGGACAGGAACCGCTCGTACTCCTCCTCTTCCTCCTCCGCATGAAACAAAAACTCCTCCTCTTCCTCATCCTCCTCCGCGTCTCGCGCCACCCGCGCGAGCATCACCTCGAGCTCTTCTATCGGGGTCTGCGCCAGCGACACTCGCGCGCGCGTGCGACGGCTGATCGTTCCGTCCGTGTCGTTCTCGTCGCACGCTCGCTGCTCGTCTCGCTGCTCGTCCCCAGCTACCACGTCCGCTCCATCCCTCGCGTTCATCTCAGCATCGCTCGCTTCAGCGTCCTGTGCTTCTAAGCATCGCGCGTCAGCAGTGCGCGCGTCTACAGTGTCCGCCGCTTCTGTATCGTGCGGCTGCGAGCTGCGCAAATCAGAACCGCGCGCGCAACTCTCGTCCGCCTGTGGGCCGTCCGCCACGTCCAGCCTTCCGCCCTGCTCTGCTGCCTCTGCCATCTCAGCTAAGTGCCTCTCCACCTCTGTCTCCTTGCCCGCGTCATCTTCCGCCATCTGCGACGTCTTGTATCGAGCCGTCCTGTAACGAGTTGTTTAACGGCTCTACAACCAGCAGCTTCACTGAACGTCGTTCTTAAGAATGGTCGCTGGGGCAACTGTACTGCCCGCAGCCGGAGTTCCTTCCTGCTGCATCAACAGGCTTTCTAACTTGCATCGCGGCAGACTGATTACAACCCCTATTGCCTTCGCAATCCCGAACCATACTGAAATACTAAAGAACCTGCACGGACCGCGTAAAGTCAATTCCGAAGCGTGTCAACCACACGCGTCGTCGGCTGGCGGATTTTGGCTGCATATGCTTGCGGGCATTACGCTGAGTTGCTCCTTGGTATTGCCTCGATATCTTGCACTGTCGGGTGTATCATGGCTGGGAAACGTCTGGAAGTTGGACGGGAGGAGGAACAAGACGAGGCGGGTGAGATGCGTGCGATTGGGTGATCGCATGGTGGCAGGGACTTGTGCGGCTGACTGGCTGGAGATTTCGATTGGTGGAGATGATCCCGATGGTGATGCTGGTGAATTTGAGGAGTTAAAGCCCAAAACCTGAATTACAAAAAAAGAGGGCAAAATGTGCACAGTTTGCCTGCCGCGCCCCAGAGTTTTGCCTGCAGTTGACTTCCGTTAAACAATTCAGGTTTTGGGTTTTAAAGTTGAGTGCAAATGTTCTCGATTGTGTGGTGTGGAGCCGTTCCACGGAAGTTCAGTAGTTTGAGGAACAAATTACAGAGGTTTTTAAGTTGATGATATACGGTGCAGCGCCTTTCAGGCTGGTAACCTGTCAAACTGAACCTCGAATTGTCCCGACCCCATGGATTCACTCCTGGAAGACAGTTCAAACCACAAGCTGCATCCAAGAATGTAACGAGCCTGTACGGTTGACCCTGTATTTGTCCAACACGCTACAACAGAGTACCATATGAAAATGTACCTTCGCATGTGTAAACAAGTCCTTCACCAGCATCAGCTCTTGATTCCTTCACTATCTATCCGTTGATCCACTCCCATCCACCTGCTGCCTTGTGCAATTTGAATTTCAAAAGCAAACTCTGTAAACTATTGGGAGAAGATCAACCAGGGGCCGAACATCGCCATAGAAGTTTTCAAAGTAAGGCCGGTAAATCTCGACCGTAGGATTTCAGCCCAGAGCTGCCCAACCGACTTGGCGAACAAGCCGAACCGGAAGTAAACGATATTTGCTAGAAGAACCAAATTGTGTATTCATGTTTTTTTTTAGGGTTTTGACCTCCGTCTACTACAGCGCGCGCGTCGCCCTCTTCTGGAAGTAAAGTTCGGCGGATCAAATCGTGAGTACGTATAACATAATATATTCTGGGTGATAAATATCACCTACCCGATCGTAGACGCACTGGAAAAAAATATATTACCCATCCAGAAACAGATGCGACTCGGGAGGCATCAACCCTAAATACCAGGAAGTTATCCGTTTTAGGGTTGACCCATCCCGAAAATGCTTCCAGGTTCCCTAAGAGTTGTAGTTTTTTTTGGCTGCCCTAAGAGTTTCCATTAGAGTCGGCTCGCTAAACGACACGCGAGCGAAAATGCGAGCCGGTACATGCCACAAATAACATAATTACGTGCAATAAAGGAAGACCCTATGTCAATCCCCCTATGCGCAGCGGTTTGGGAAGTTCCGGGCCTCTTGGCCCCTGGTCGATCACCCCTCTGGCACTGTTCGGCCCCTCGTTGATCTTCTCCCTAATCTATTTGCTTACCGCGAGTGGTCCTCATGGCGTGACGCCTTCAGCTCACAAAAAGTGAAGTCCCTTCGTCCAGTACACGAGCTTACCACTGAATCATCTTGGTTCTGCCCCGATAATTTTTCCTCGTTTTCTGAGATGGAGACTGGTGACCCGACACCACTTAACGACGTGCCGTGCCAGGAAGCAGAGGAATGGGCGGATGGGGATGCACGTACTCGCATGGAGGAACGCGCTGAAGCTGCTGACGTGGACGGAATGACTGAGAACGTGGCTTTGATAGATGAGAGTATGGCGGACGCCTATTTGGACGATAATGACCATCTCGACGACGCGAGCGACGACGTCGGCGATGACGGCGATTCGGATTTGTCAGCAGACGACGTTGGCGATGCGGACGACGTTGGCGAAGAGGCAGGCGACATAGAAGGTGGAAGAGGCGCCGTGGAGGATGGGGGGGAGCCGATGGAGAGACGGGGAGGTACGGCGGAGGAGGAGAAGGAAGAAGCAGCGGCGGAGGAACAAGAAGAGGAGGAGGATGATGAGGAGGAGGAAGGCGAGGAACTGGATGAGGCACAGCGCGGTAGGGTGGCTGACGACGATGAGATGAGCGTTCACTCGGAGGAGGAAGGGGAGGAAGGAAAGGAGGCGGGCGCGGAGGAGGGGGAGGGGGAGGGGGTAGGCGCGCGTGAGGGGGATGGAGAAGCTCGGTGTCAAAGGGACGGGGGGACAGGTGGCGATGGCGATGAGAGGCCGCGCGGAGTGACTGCACGGACGGGCGGAGGAGTGGCGGATGGGGGAAGGCGAGAGGCGGGAGGTGAAGAGGCGGAGGTAGCAGGAGAGGGGAAGAGAGAAGCGGAAACAGGTGGGCGTGTGACGGGCGAGGAGCAGAAAGCGAAGGAAAGCGGTGAGCAATCAGAGGCAGCAGGAGCGAAGGGCGGAACGGAGAGAGGAAAGGTTTCTGTAGCAGCGGAAGCACGTGGGACAGCAGGCGCGCGTGCAGATGGGGAAACACAAGAAGCACGAGAGGGTGGTGCTGCGGGAGGGATGCCCTCGCCACACCACGCCCGCATCGCACAGGGAATGGCGCCTTCAGCAAAGGGCGCGCCTGTAACAGCTGCAGAGGAACCCCCAGAGTTACCTTCATCAGGGGAAGCAGCTGTAGCAGCGGCAGAGATGCCAGTTGCGTATGTGAAGCGCATGATGCGCCTGGATGGCGAGGTGCGGCAAGTTTCGTCCGATGCCGCCCAGCTGGTGGCCTCTGCCGCCCACCTCTTCCTCGAGAGCCTCGCTGCTTCTGCCTTCTCCCGCACTCGCTCCGCCCGGCGCCTGACCATCACCCAGGCTGACGTGGCAGCTGTTGTGCGCTCATCGGATAAGATCAGGTCAGGGCGAGGGGAGAGAGAGAGAGGAGAGCGAGGGGAGGGTGAGAGGAGGGCGAGGGGAGGGTGAGTGGTGTTGGCCAATCCAGCACATGTTCATCTTCTTTAATGTAGATGTGTGTGCAAGTTCTTGCTTTGCTTTTCTGTCCATGCGCTCACAGTTTCTGATGTCTTCCCTCGGTCGTTACATTCGTGATTCTGCCCTTACGCTGCATCCATGCTCATTGCGCAGCGAGTTCATTGGCTCGTCCATATCCTGCCTTCGACACGTCAGCAGCGGTCCAGCTCGTGCTGACACAGCACGGGGGCGGGGGAGTGCAGCAGGGGTGGAGGGGTCGAGGAAGCGGGTGAGGGCAGAGGCAGCAGCGCCAGCAGCAGTGCGGGATAGGAAGGCACGGTTCATCACCGCTTTCTTCCTCAAGTCATAGCCGCCACACTCGAGTCGCAGCCAGCGCTTTTATAGATTGTCACCACTCTCATCTCATGCCAGAGCCGCTGTGGTGGCCCCGCCCCACACCATCTCATCCTTGCTTCCCAGCAACTTCCATGAGGCAAAGTTGCACTGTACACTCTGCTCTGCCTTCTCTGTCTGCTCTGCCTGCCACCGGCCTCATGCTGCGTGGTGGGAGCACACCTGCCATCTCGAGACCAGTGCTGCCCTGTCAGCATTGCCAAGGGCTGCGGCACAGAGGATTTTCCACCACGGAACTCAAGATGCTGTTTTCATAAGCACATTGTTTTCCAACACTGTACTGATGTTTTTATAAGCGCCTTAATAGTTTAACAATGTGCTAAGGGTGATGTTTTTGCACAAGTGGCTCAATATTCCAACAGTGTACTGACAAGGATGTTCATATAAGCCACAAATAGTTCAACAGTGTGCTGACAAGGATGTTCTTATAAGCCACAAATAGTTCAACAGTGTACTGACGAGGATGTTCTTATAAGCCAGAAAAAGTCCAACAGTGTACTGACGAGAATGTTCTTACAAGCCACAAATAGTCCAACAGTGTACTGACGAGGATGTTTTTATAAGCCACAAATAGTTAAACAGTGTGCTGACAAGGATGTTCTTATAAGCCACAAATAGTTCAACAGTGTACTGACGAGGATGTTCTTATAAGCCAGAAAAAGTTCAACAGTGTACTGATGAGGATGTTCTTACAAGCCACAAATAGTCCAACAGTGTACTGTACAGTGTCAGTTGCCGTGGATGGTGTATCGGTCCCACTTCTTTGCTGGGTCGTATATCTGCAAGGCGAGAAACACAGGGCAGAAGGACGGCAAGATGGAGGTGGCGAGATGTGCAGTTGAGTTGGGCAAAGGAGGGGGACGGACCAAGACAGAGAGTTAGCAAGAGGTGCAGCAAGCAGAGATAATCGGCAGGAGCAGCAGCAGAAACAGTAACTTGGAGAGGGGCAAAAGGGAGGTGCAGAACAGCTGACCTCCCATCGCGAGGCGGGGAAGATGTGCTTGTTCTTGTCATACCAGTGCCTCTCCACCACCTTGCCTGCATGCGACTGGCGAGGGAGGGAGGGAGGAGAGAGAGGGAGAAGAATGGAAGGATGGAGGCAATCAGTGGCCAGGGATCGATGTGCTTGTTCATGTCGTACCAATGCCTCTCCACCACCTTGCCCGCGTGCGACTGGAAGGAGGGGGAGCGGAGGGAAGGGGATGGTGGAGGATGAGTGGCGATGCACGGCATGTGGTTGCTGCTGCCACACCAGTGCATCTCCCCCTGTGTAGCTGATGCTCCACCGGGGAAGAACGGAGGGACGAGGGGAGGATGCACCATGTGCGGAGCTAACAAACACACGGTAAACTAGGATGGCAAAACATGTGGGATGCCAGGAAATTAAACCTGTGCCATGACCATTCACAGTTCACTCTCATTCCAAAATACTCCTGAACATTCATAAACTCCTTCCGAACCTCATCCCCTTCTTTCTCCCCCACTCACACCTGGCCGTCCTTGCATCTCAGCATCACCCCTTTCCCCCGGTATCCCCTCGCCTCCCTCTCAACGCACCTCGTCCTTTTCAATGGTGGCGTCCCCCGTGGTGCGAATGTCATCGTGCACGTCGAAGTGGAACAGCTGCCAGGCCACACAGCCACACGTGGTTGCACGTCATGTGGCCCCCCGTGTTGTATTGTTGCAGCAAGGGGAGGTGGGTCGGAGGCAAGAGAGGGACACAGAGAAAGAAACCGACGAAGAAATGAGTGATGTGTGCGACAACAGCTCCAGAAATACAGAAAGGGGTTCAGAAAGACAGCAAGGGGTTCAGAAAGACAGCAAGGGCTTCAGAAAGACGATAAGGGGCCGACAACATGAGAGGTGTGCAAGAGGCAGAGGGTAGCGGAGTAGCAGGTGCAGAGCACCACCACTCTGCCTGTGCACCACCACCCTGCCTGTGCACCACCACCCTGCCTGTGCACGACAGCGGTAGCACTGCACTGCCTGCTCCCACTGCTCATCCCATACCCATACCCATACCCATACCCATACCCATACCCATACCCATACCCATACCCATACCATCCCCATCCCATCCCCGTACTTATCCCCATCGTAGCATACAATCCCTCCCCACATGCATCCCAATCCCCCGCCCCAAGCACGTGTGTGCGTGCCTTACCGGACCACTCTTCCCGCGCGCCTTGTTCACAATAAGCTCGTAGAAGGTGTATTGCTGCCAGGGGCGCACGGGGGGGAAGGGGGGGTCAAGGAAGGAGGTAGAGGGGGGCACAGGGTAGCCTTGCTCACAATGAGCTAGTCAAAGGTGCGTTGGTGTTGGGGGGCTGTGGGGAAGGGAGGGGAGGGTGCGGGCAGAGGAGGGAGGAGGTGCATGGAGGTGGGAGCGCAGGGGACTGCTACAAAGTGAAGGGACAAATCCTCCTTGTCATACACAAGGCCCTCCTCTCCTCTGTGTGCTCATGTCATTCTACTGCATGTGCATGTATGCTGTGAGTGAGCCATGCAGGACGGACGTCACTCACATGCGGGATGATGAGTCCTTGATGTAAACCAGTCAATCCACCGCCGCCCACAGCACCTCCCTGATTGCGGCGATCATCCACACAAACCAACCTGGCCCCTCACATGCTACCTGCACTCACATGCTACCTGCACTCACATGCTACCTGCACTCACGTGCTACCTGCACTCACATGCTACCTGCACTCACGTGCTACCTGCACTCACATGCTACCTGCACTCACATGCTACCTGCACTCACATGCTACCTGCACTCACATGCTACCTGCACTCACATGCTACCTGCACTCACATGCTACCTGCACTCACGTGCTACCTGCACTCACATGCTACCTGCACTCACATGCTACCTGCACTCACATGCTACCTGCACTCACATGCTACCTGCACTCACATGCTACCTGCACTCACATGCTACCTGCACTCACATGCTACCTGCACTCACATGCTACCTGCACTCACATGCTACCTGCACTCACATGCTACCTGCACTCACATGCTACCTGCACTCACATGCTACCTGCACTCACATGCTACCTGCACTCACATGCTACCTGCACTCACATGCTACCTGCACTCACATGCTACCTGCACTCACATGCTACCTGCACTCACGTGCTACCTGCACTCACGTGCGGGATGATGAGATCTTCCTTGATGTACACGAGCCCCTCCACCGATGCCGACCGCACCTCCCTGAAGTCGGGCGCCAGCTGCTGCTGCACGGCTCGCAGGAAGTCCGCTATGCTGTCGCCCTTGCGCACCTGGGAAGGGGGGGGGGGAGCGGAAGGACAGCAGACAAGGGGGGAGAGGGGGATAACCGGGGGAGAGGGGGATAACCGGGGGAGAGGGGGATAACCGGGGGAGAGGGGGATAACCGGGGGAGAGGGGGATAACCGGGGGAGAGAACAGTTGTGCGACGGGGGAAAGAGGTGGGGTGGGACAGGGAAGAGAGGAAAGGGGGAGGAGGGGAGGGAGGGGGGGAGGGACGGAGGGGGCATGTGTGAAAACATGTGACTATCACATCTGGAAAGCCACACAATATCATATGGCGCAATATCATATGGCGCAATATCATATGGCGCAATATCATATGGCGCAATATCATATGGCGCAATATCATATGGCGCAATATCATATGTACACATTGAAGAGGCACACATGCACCACACATGGTGACCACGCATAGCAACTGCATGTGGTACCATACAACCAACCGCATGCAGCGCCCTTTCCTCACCTTAATGACTCGCCTATGCCCCGCTCCATCCCAGAAACTGTACGTGATCTCCAACGGCTCGTCTGATTGGCCGACGGGGTGGAAGGGGATGGGAAGGGGAAGGGGACGCATGAGGATGAGATGAAACAGAGGGAGAATGCTGAAATGCAGCTTCGCCCTGTGGTAAGATCACCTGCTGCGGTTGAGACATCTCCAAACCAAACCTTTGGAGTGCAATGAAACCCCCTGCAATCGCACTGTCTAGCACAAAGCAGCGTAAAACAGTCACCGGTTATCCACCACATTGGCACACTAGTCATCCCTATACATACTTGACCTTATTATTAACCTTCATGAGACATCCCAAAAATATTATAAACTCTCTCTCCCTGTATAGGCTCACCCGTATCCCTGATACAGACCTGATTGCATCCCCTATATAGACTCACTCTTTATCCGCTCCTGCTCCGCCATCCACTGCTTGGCCAGTCGCTCCCTCTCTGCTGTCTCCTGCGCCTCTCGGTCCCTGTGCAGCGACAAGGGGGGCCGGCGGGGTGACAGCAAGGAGGGGTGGGTGGGAGAGGAGGAGCGGGGAGAGAGGGAGGAGGGACAGGGGGATGTCATGTCACAGGAGAAAGTGGTGGGAGCAGGGAGGAGGGTGGGTCAGTGGGGCAGGGGGGAGAAGGGAGGTGGGCGTGGGGTAGGGGTTGAGGCTAGAAGAAGGGCATGCGCATGTGCAGGGAGGTGGGCGCAGTAGGCAAGGAGGCATAGCACCCGTGCGGGTTAGAGGAAGTGCACGTGCAGAGAGGTGGGCGCAGTAGGCAAGGAGGCATTGCACCCGTGCGGGCTAGAGGAAGTGCACGTGGTGGGCCAGTGGCCACCACGTGTCTGCGCAGCAAGCAGGGCAGCACAAAGGAACGAGTTCCTTGCAGCGACACAAACTGCACTTGCCCCCTACCTATCCAACAAGCAGCTGTTCAGAAATCAGCTGTCCAGTAACCACCTGTCCTTGGGTAACCATAGCTGTGCTAGGCACATCTGAGAGCCCACCTTTGCCCTCCCCCCTGCCCCCACCCCTGCACTTACCACTGCCCTCACCCCTGCACTCACCACTGCCCCCCCTCTCTGCCCCCACCTCTGCCTTCCCCACCCCTCTACCATCCCATCTGCCCTCACTCCTCCTGCAGGAAGCTGGTCTCAACGAAGGGGTCCTCGCCGAGCCCTCCTGTCACAACCTGTTAGGCAACCACCCTCCTGCTCGGCAACCGCGCCCCCCTCACTGCCCTCCCCTCCGCCTTCCTCTCTGCGCGCACCGCACCTGTCGGGCAAAAAGCTGGTCTCCACGAAAGGGTTCTTGCCGAACTTGCTCATCCTCGCCTTCTTCCGCACCTCCCCCGCTGCTGACCCCCCGCCACCCCTGCTCGCCCCGTTCCCTGCTGCCGCCCAGGCATGGGGAGAGGGGCGAAAAGGGCGAGAGGGGGAGAAGGCCGAGAGTGGAAGAGGGGAAAGAACGTTGGCAGGGGAAAGGAGTGGGGGAGGGGAAAGTATGGGGAGAGGAGAGAGAGAGGTGAGAGGAGTGAGGAGGGAAAGAACGGGGAGAGGGGAGGAGCGACGGGTGTGAGGAAAAGGAGGAGAGGGGAGGAACGGGACAGAATGCTAGTTTTTGATAAACGTGTGCCTTACGCCAACACGCCCTCAGCCGCGAATCCCGCTAGCAGCAGGTAGCAAAACGTGTGCGCTTATTGGAGTAAAACGCACGTTTCGCTACCTGCTGCTATCGGGATTCACGGCTGACGGCGTGTTGGCGTAAGGAAACAGCAGGCTGCTACTAGCATGTAAAACGGCGAAGGAATCAACCCCATTTGGCGGAATGCTAAATTTTGAGAATTCCAAGAAAACGCATTCAGCCGAACGAATTCAACATCCAATGTGGCGCCTGTCACTGCTCATCCCACACTCCCCCACCCACAGTCACTCCTCTTACAACCCTTCCTTACCTCTCGCCTCTTGCTCCCCCCCGTTCTCCTTCTCCCCATCCCCATCCTCGCCCTCCTCCTCCTCCTCCTCCTCCTCCTCGTCTTGCAGGTCATCCAGGAACGAGAGCTTGGCCGTGGGCGCTGCTGCTCGCCGCCTCCGCCGCTTCTCCATCTGCTTCTCCTCCTCGCTGCGCTCGGTGATATGGCGTGGATTCGCCCGGAGGGTTGTGGTCAGGTGTGGTGGGGTGAGGTGATAATGGCGTGGGATGGGGAGGACGGTGGGGTGGGTGAGGGAGGTGCAAGGGCGAGATGAGAAAGTACGAGTAGGCATGTGTGCATGGCAAGAGAGAAGTTTTTTATTCGACTCAAATGGGCGGGATGAGAGAGGTAGGTAGTAGGGGCATGTTGTCAGAACTTGAGCTTAGAATCCATACATTATAAAGAGCTTGAAGCTCTTTAAGTACATCCAGGATGAGCAAGGGATGGATGGGGAGGGAATCGGGGCAATCTCTAGGGACTGGGGTAATCCCAGGGCAATTTCCAATTGGTGGGTTGGGGATTGCTTGGAGATTACATTTGGGTTTGGTTAGGATGTGGGTGTACACCCAACCAAACACAAAGTGCAAACTACATTAAATCATGATATAAAAAAGTACAAGTACAAAATGTGAGATTTGAGGGCTAACACTAACACATGTGTGCATGGCAAGAGAGCAAGGTTGACATGCACTTGTCAGAAGAAGCCCACAGGCGCGCATGGGATGGGATGGGAGTTGCTCTCACTCACTCTGCTCTGCACATCCATCCCTCCAGTCCCTCCGCTCTTCATTGCCACTCACTCCCCCATCCTCACCCACTCCCCCATCCTCACTTACTCCCCCATCCCCACTCACTCCCCCATGCCCATCCCCCCTCACTCCCCCATCCCCCCTCACTCCCCCATCCCCCCTCAATCCCCCATCCCCACTCACTCCCCCATCCCCACTCACTCCCCCATCCCCACTCACTCATCTGCCTGTCGCTGCTTGGCCTCTCGCTCCTCCTCCTCCATCTTGCTGCGCAGCGTCGCCCTCTGCTCCATGCCATGCCATGCCGTGCCGTGCCGTGCCGTGCCGTGCCATGCCATGCCGTGCCATGCCGCGCCGTGTTACATGCCATGTGCGGAACATGGGTCAAGCAATCCAGAGTGTTTCACACCAATGAGGAGCGCAGAAAACAGCCAGCACATGTCAAAGCCCTCACAGGAATCACATACATACAGCACACAAACATCTCCTACCCACGCGCCCCTTGCCTGATTACCCCACTTCCTCCCCTCCTAGTGTCCCCCATGCCCCCCTTTCCCTTTCCCCCATCTCCTCCCCCCCTTTGCGCACCTTCTCCACAAACTGTTTGCGCGTGATTCCTGAGACGACTCAAAACCCATCCCCCCCCATGCACCCCCATACCTGCCCATGACCGCCCTCACCCCTCCCCCCCCGTGCACCTTCTCAACGAGCTGCTCGCGTGTGACGAGCCCCACCGTCTGCCCCCCTGCCAACCCACCTACCTCTACGCCCCCTGCGAGCTTCCTTCCCCCTATGCCCGCGTGCTTCCTTCCCCCTATGCCCGCGTGCTTCCTTCCCCCTATGCCCGCGTGCTTCCTTCCCCCTATGCCCCCCATGCCCCTCCCCCTCCCCCCTCCGCGCGCACCTTCTCAACGAACTGCTTGCGCGTGACGAGCCCCACCGTCTGCTTCTTGAACGCCGTCTCTAGCGTCTGGGGGGGAAGGGGACGGGGGGAAAGGGGGACAGGGGGACGAGGGGGGGGAAGGGGAGGGGGGAGGGAGGGCGAGGATAAGGAGAGCGGTAGGGGGAGCGGGGCGGAGGGAGCGCGCGCGGGGGAGAGAGGGGGGGAGATGGTGAGGTAAGGTCGGAGGGGCAAGAAACTTCTCCAGAGAGACACATGCGGAGGGCAGTCGCTGCCGTCAACTGCGGTCACGTCACTCGACGAGGACAGGCACGGCGGCGCGCGGTGATGTGTGTAAGAGCCCACCCACGCAGTGCCATCGGCTAAAGCTCCTCGCGCGCGGCTCGGGCCATCCCTACTCGGGGGAGAGGGGCGCTTGTGGTCATGTTCAGCTAGACGGGCACAGGGGGCGGGGGCTGCTTGCGGCGATTCGAGCGCTCGCCTACGGGCTCAGCACTGCCTCCGTCGCCCTGTGTGAATTCGACGTGACGTTTGCGGCGAAGCAAAGGGGTCAAGAATTCCGCGTCTCCTCACCGTACTTAGCGACCTCCTACTGCAACCTCTAAGGCTCGTACTACTTGGTCGCAGCCGCGACACCTAGATTGCATGGGAGCTCCGACCCAGGTTCAGCTAGACGGGTACTGTGGCCGGGGAGCCGTGCGCGGAGCGCAGCGCGCAGCTACGCGCGCGAGAGGGCGCGCGCGGAGGGCGCACCTCGGAGGTGGCGGTGCCGAACTGCAGCAGCCCCTGCAGGCCCTGCGACGACTTCTTGCGCAGCTCCTCCATCTTCGCCTGCTCCTCCTCCCGCTGCTTCTCCAGCCGCCGAATCCGCACCGCGTCCGCCGCCGTGCCCACGTATCCATCGCCCATGCCCGCCATGGCTGCTCCTCGCGCTCGCTGCTCAACACACTACTTGACACGCTCACTGCTGAACATTAAAATGATTTCCAATAAATAAATTTAACTACTCCTCCTTCTTCACCGTCCGTTGTAGTCTAGTCGGTTAGGATACTCGGCTCTCACCCGAGAGACCCGGGTACAAGTCCCGGCAACGGAAAGTTTTGTCAAATTTGGCACTGTTAAGCAACTTGTGCTTACTGCGAGAAGCTGCGACACATTTTGCGACGAGGTTCCGTTTACAGAACTTGTGGTTACGGCACCTGAGTACAGCAGTTTGGTCACCCAAACGACGGAAATATGTTATCGAATCCCCCCTGACCTCCAACATCTTTCTCATCTCCCCACTTCTGCATCGTCCCTCGACCTTCTGCCACACGCCAGCAGCTCGCACATTCCCCCGTCCCACGCCACCCATCGCATTGGTCCGCCGACCGCACCGACATTCTTGCGTTACTCACAGCGAGCGGCGCGCTGCTCTGGCATAAGTCTTTCGTCGCGTCGCCGCCTCACGTGCTCGCACACGTGTGCGACATTCGTTCGCGCAAAAACACTTCTTGCTTTCCATGGCTCCTTTTTGCTAAGCACGCGCCTACCAGCTTCCCGGCCGTTCCCCTTCTGCTTTACCACGCACTTAGAGAGAACGCGACTGGGCCATGAATCTATTGCCACAGAACCCGCCCGAACAGAGAGGATGGGTGATAATCAAAACCTAATGCCGCCATGTCTCCGTTGCTGACTTGCCAGGGCCAGTCGCACAAAAAAACAAAACTACCCACCATGATGGGGCCGACGGTAATCAGCCGACCAACGGCTATTCGCCGCCACCTATTTCCCTCTCAATCCAGATTACACTCGCCGTTCCGCGCCCCCTCTCCGCTCGCCCTCTCCGCTCTCACTCTCCGCTGCTCACTTGCTCTCTCCCCCAGCGTCGCGCGTCCACGCGCCGCGGTGGGCATATAAGAGGCGCTGCTTTTTGCAAGCATGGCGCAGCATAACCTCGTGAAGCCATCTTTGCGCTTCTCTTCTTTGACGAACCTTGTATGAGGCGAGCAAATCACAAGAAGCTCTAAAAGTGCGACTCCTGGGTGCTACTCTTTTCGAAGCCACGCTCAACGCTCTTCAATGATGGCGGTCCTGTTCTCGGCGCACTCGCGACTGGGTCACGTTGCGCTGGTTCTGACTGTTCTCCTCATGCTCGCAGGTGAGCTATTGTACCTTGTGTTGGTGACCTGTGCGATGCCAGGAATGACTCGTGCAGGGCCAAGAATGACTCGTGCAGGGCCAGGAATGACTCGTGCAGGGCCAGGAATGACTCGTGCAGGGCCAGGAATGACTCGTGCAGTGCCAAGAATGACTCGTGCAGTGCCAAGAATGACTCGTGCAGTGCCAAGAATGACTCGTGCAGTGCCAAGAATGACTCGTGCAGTGCCAAGAATGACTCGTGTAGTGCCAAGAATGACTCGTGTAGTGCCAAGAATGACTCGTGTAGTGCCAAGAATGACTCGTGTAGTGCCAATAATGACTCGTGTAGTGCCAAGAATGACTCGTGCAGTGCCAAGGATGACTCGTGCAGTGCCAAGAATGACTCGTGAAGCGCCAAGAATGACCTGTGTTCCGAGTCTTTGAGTTTTTTGTCTCCAAATCATGTCTTCCGTCCCTCCCCATAACCCTCTCTCCACTGCCTCTTCCGCGCCATGCGTCTCATCTTCCTCAACCCCCAAACCTCACGCTCCCATGCCTCCCTCCCGTGCCTCGCTCCTGTGCCTCCCTCCCGTGCCTCGCTCCCATGCCTGCACTCCACTATTCACTGCATGTGGCTGTCATCTCCGCAGCAGTGCCATCAACAACCAAGGTATGAACGCGTTATAGAGTGTGGATCTTTTAGAATATCCGATGCACATGATGGTGCTCACCTCCTTATCTCTCATTATATGTTGGGAGAAATTGGAGGCTCATGATGTGCTGGTGTTTGTTGATACCTGCTCTCTACCTACTCCTCCCTCCTCCCCCACCCACTCCATTATCTCTCTCTTTCTCAAATTGTCCGTATATTGAGATAGCCAAGTACAGACAAGCGGGCAGGCCAGGTAAGTCACAACTAGCTAGGAGCAGGCATCAATCAACACCAGCGCATCATGAGCCTCAGAGGATGAGTAGCTTCCTCTTCCCACATTCGTATGCAGGCCACACACACACACACACGCACACGCACACACACACACACACACACACACACACACACACTCACACTAACACACACACACACACATACTCACAGTCACACACACACACACACACACTCACACATACACACGCATACACTCCACACCCTAGCAAGGCAGAGGTGATGGGTGTGGGCGTCATGTATCCACCTCTCTACCCCTCTCGCCTCTTTCCCTCTCACTCACACACAATCTCCCTCGAGCAGGCGAAGCTAGTGGTGGTGGGAGGGGGGGGCGTGAGCCCGTGGAGCGAGTGGAGAATGCGGGTGTGGAAGAAACCGGTGCTGCGAGTGGGGGACACGCTTGGTGAGACCTGTGCATGCATGCATGCTGGCTGTATCCTGAGTGAGCTTCTTGTGCTGTATCCTGTATCCTTTGCTTGCCACGAGAGGTGCAAGTATCACATCCCTGCAGCTACCAGGGCCTTGTTGTATCAGGGGTCAATGCCTCTCTCGTACTGCTCCTCACACCATTGTACATGCTAATGCCTTGCGTGTGCGTGTTCTTTCCCCCATGCGTTCCCTCTGCTTCTGTTCCTCTGCCTATGCTCTAAATGCCCTTTTCCGTGCTCTAATTGCCCTTTCCCTTTTCTCCCGCGGTGGCATGCTTGGCAGTGTTCAAGTGGTGGGGCTTCCCCAATGACGTCGTGGCTGCTCTCATTAAGAAGCAATTCGATACATGCAACTTCACCCTAGCCATCATGCTGCACAGCACCACGTGGGTGGGGCGCTACAAGTTTGCGATACCATCAGGCACCACCCGAGTGCTCTTTGCCAGCAGCATGCGCCAAAGGTGCCTGAGGGGACTCAAGTACGACACTGGTGCCATTTTGCCGTGATTTATGGTCACAGACAGCACCGCGTGGGTGGGCCGCGGTACCATCAAGCACCACCTGGGTGCTCTTTGCCAGTAGCATGCATGAAAGGTGCAGGAGGGGACTCAAGTATGACACTCGTGCCATTTTGCGGTGATTACTGTCACAGCCTACAGGTACATAGGGTAGTTCAAGATATGATTGAAGGTACTGCAGGCCTTTTGAAATAAAGTGGGGTTCTTGATGTTAAATTGTGCATACCTATTCGTTACTGTAGGCTGTAGTTGGTACACAGGCCTCTGGATAGGATTTGGGGCACTCTTACTCGCAAGGCCAGTTCACTGAAGTTGGTCTTTCAGTAAGGGTGGGTCAGCCATGTCAGTCTTTTTTATCAATGTCAGCTGGAAAGGTACTCTGTCAAACATTATATATGTTGTGCTTGTTTAGGCTACAGTGGGTTAGCCTATAGGGGGTACACAATTCTAGGGTTAGGTACTTGTACTGATTTCACTGTTAGTTCAATCATTCCTGTTCATTCATTTCAACATGGTATAGAGCAGGTCCTTCCTAGGACCGATTTTTTACCACTACCTACCTACCTACCTACCTACCTACCTACCTACCTGCGCCCTAGGGCGCCTCGGTTTTCACGGCCCTCTAAGGCCCAGCGACCCGCCCCTTAGCGACTCGCGCGCCGCCCCTTAAGGCCCCGTCGGCCCACGCGCTCGCCCTAAGCGGCCCCTTACGGCCCCGCGCTCGCCCCTAGAGGCCCCAATCGGCCCCGCGCTCGCCCTTAGCGGCCCCTTACGGCCCCGCGCTCGCCCCTAGAGGCCCCGAACGGCCCCGCGCTCGCTCTTAGCGGCCCCTTACGGCCCCGCGCTCGCCCCTAGAGGCCCCAAACGGCCCCGCGCTCGCCCTTAGCGGCCCCTTACGGCCCCGCGCTCGCCCCTAGAGGCCCCGATCGGCCCCGCGCTCGCCCTTAGCGGCCCCTTACGGTCCCACGCTCGCCCCTAGAGGCCACGAACGCCCCCCCCCCAGAACGAGCCGCCCGACCCGAGCAGCCCGAACCGAGCCACCCTGCCCGAACCGAGCCGCCCGAACCGAGCCGCCCAGCCCGAACCGAGCCGCCCGAACCGAGCCGCCCAGCCCAAACCGAGCCGCGCCGCCCGAACCTAGCCGCGCCGCCCTTCCCGAACCGCGCCGCCCTACCTGAACCGAGCCGCGCCGCCCGTACTGGACCGAGCCGCCCTACCTGAGTCGCACTGCCTACTGTTTTTGGGGTGCCCCTACTGCTATTACTCCTACTACTGCTATGGCTAGCCCTCCTGTACTGGCTTCGATGCTGAGGGCCGCCCAGTGAAGTTCGAAACCTGGCTAGATGATCTACACCTCTTCCTACAGCTCACTGCCAAGGAGGACATCTCACTGTACGATCACGCCCTAGGCCATGCTCCTGCTCCTGCTGCTACTGCTGACAGCACTGCCCGCTCACAGTGGCAGACTCGTGACGTCCACGCTCGCTTCGCTATTCGCAACTCCCTGCCGATAGATGAGCGCGAGCACTTTGGGCAGCACAAGACTGCACAGGCACTGTACACTGCTGTCGTTGCCCGCTACTCCTCACCGGCCTCTGCCGCACTAGGCCGTCTCTCTCTTCCCTACCTGTTCCCCGACTTAGCCTCTTTCCACACAGTCGCTGACCTCATTACGCACCTCCGCACTAGTGAGGCTCGCTTCCGCGCCGCCATGCCTGATGAGTTCCTTGCCAAGAACCCACCCCCACTCTGGCTCACTCTCTACCACCTAGTCACCCGCCTCCCTGACACTCTGCGCTCAGTCAGGGACCACTTCCTAGCTCGCTGCCCCACTGAGCTCACCATTTCCCTCCTCGAGAAGGAACTCCTTGCAGCTGAGGCTAGCATAGTCGCTGTAGGTGCCTCTCG